GCTCTCCCACAAATGAGGACATTAATGCAGAAAAGTGTCGTTTATTTCCAAGCGAGAGAAAGGATTTTCCCCCTTAATCAACACAAAATCATTCAAAAAATTTGGCATTATTAAGACGAAAATTCTTATCTGTCGTCTTGCATTGTAATTAAACCGTTCATTTGTACCAAGTCATGTCTTATATACACACTGATGTGAATTAGAATTTCGATAATGTGGAGCCATACGTGTGGATAACTTGATTATCTCAGGAGTGAGAGAAAGCCTTTCCGATATCATATTGGTTCTAGTATCGATTCTCCCAGTACACTTGCAAATTTTGTACCAATATCGCAGTATCCCCTAGAAACTACATTCGCTCTGCTTGAAATGAGGAGTCCCAGGTTGACATGATCTAATCCGTGTTCCAAAAACTGCAATAAAATCAATCATACCATTTTCTGTAGAAACTTGTCTCATTTAATATTAGAGATTTCATTGTTTTCTAAATTACGTCATATCTACCAAATAAGAGTCACGAGGTCAAAATAGGCAACTTTGAATCTGGTTACAAACCCCATTACATCCAGTGTACTTCTACCTCAGGGTGTAGCTGTTCTTCTGAGGTACATCTTTTAGAAATCTTTCTTCTTTCTTTAAACTCTTTTCGTCGCATATCCTTTCCGCTCGCTGGGACGATGCTTAGACCACTGACCTCCTCTGTTATGGATGGTGGTGAGACGAAACCTATGGATACCTTTTCGTGTGGGTCTTCTTCTCCCAGTTCCATGCTCCCATCTGTTATCCTAGTGACCAAAATATCTAGGAAAGGTAACATATTTTGCAGTTTCTGTTTCCATGGTAAATTTGACCATGAGGTGTTGCGGGTTCAAGTGGTCAAGGAACTCTTGGAGATGCTCGTTTCCATGCTGCCAGATCACAAAGGTGTGATCGACATAACGAAGCCATAGCTTTTGGTTGTCACGAAGTCTTCCTTAACGCTTCTTTCTCAAACATTTCCATGAAGAAATTGGCGATTACGTGTGATAAATATGGTTGCTTTTCTTTACTTACTTCAGCGTAGCTCACCTCTTCATTCTACTTCGCTATCCCTCTCCTCAACTCTTTTACTTCTGTCTCACCTAAATAGATCCCGTCACCTATTCTCACCAAAGCGTCATATATTATGAGCAGTAAGCTCTCAATTATCCTGCAACATTTCGTATCTTGATTTTTAGAAAACACAAATGTTATTGCCCTTACTTTATATTCTGCATATGTTCCTCATCTTGGAACATTTTTTTTTAAAAAGCTGTGTATGAGGCAACAACGGGAAAGCTTTTTGTAAATTTTCTACTTAAGTCTTTGAGACAATTAAATAGTTTAACGCAACTTGAAAGTTGCGAAATACCGAGCTGCATTTTATGACAGCATTTTCACAACGAAAGCTCAAGCACAATATCTAAGTGTTGCAATGAAAATGGTCATAGTAATTGAATTAAATTTTATTAAGAAATAATATTACATTTGTTATAATTTGATATAAAGCATAAAATAATTTAAAAATTGAACACGTACCTTTGTCCAAAAATGACTTGAATATTACTTAAATTATATATTATTCTGGTTCAGGACACGTACTACCTACTTCATGATTTATTAACGCTGTACAGGAAGTTTTAAAACAAGGAAGCGGAAAGCAGATCATTATTTATTTTAAAGCCAACCTGCACTTTTAAAATTTATATTAAATTTTCGGCAATAAATCATATTCGCTACTATGAATAACACTAGATATAATTATATCTTGATTTATTAATATAGGTGTGTCTTTTATCTCGCTCCAGTTATGTCTTATTTATCCGTTAAAATTTATATTAGACGATGTGTTTCAAAGAAATAAACACCTTTAATAGTATTCGTTGTTTGAATGGCAATAATTTTCATTCAGTTTACATTTACAAAGCGCTAAAAGTATAAATAGTTCGGTTCATATTTGACCGAGATTTAATTTTCAGAGTAAAATTATAAGCGAAACAGCATTATTGTGCTGCATTGCGGTAGTGTAAATATTTTGCTGTGTAAATAAAAATGAGAAAGGTCTTCAAAGAAAATGGGAAAACGACGAGGAAGGAAAATTATTCGGGTACCACTTAATTAATAAATACCACAATTGATTAAATTCTGAGGGGAAAGATCAGCGAGAAGTCAACTAAATTAAAAGGATTTCTTTGAAAATGGCTAGTCCATTCCGACAACCATAAAGAACAATTTAATTAAAACGTACGTCCACCGGGCGAGACAGGTTTCCATGAATTTCCTGGGTAATTATAATTAATATTTATATTATTTCGAGATATAATTATTTTATACAAATAAATCTTTTTTAGAATTTTTAAAATATTTTTATTTTAAATTAAAAAAAATACGTAATCTTGATACAACTTAATTTAAATATTGTCGCAGAATGATAAATAAACTTAAAAAATTTGCCTTGGAAATTTTCTACAAACATTTTTTCTTCTCTTGTTACCCTTATCTTCGGACGCGTAAATGTAAATAGATTTTATTTTTAAATACGGTATCACTTTGCATCTATTAACTACTTTTTTCTTGTTCTCAGTTTTAGATTAGCATCAACAAAAAAGTGGCTTTAAATCGTGCCAATCTAATCTTTTATTGAAGTTTGAACTAAAACCGCGATCCTGATAAATTGCGGCATTTTCAAAGCGCGATTAAGTTTCTGACAACGCCTTTCATGAAAATACGCCAATATCCCATTGTCATCAACTCAATGAATTTCTAATAGATTTCCTCGGTTAACGATAAAACTTTTCGGTTTAATTAGAATCGTGATAGGGGACGTCGTTTATAACTACAACTAATGAAAGTTTTAACTGTCTAATCTTTCAAACAATTATAAAAGATTCTGTTTTTTATTTGTCGTTCAATTATGAAAGCTATTTAATAAAAATTATTTCCCAAATAGGGTTTAGAAACTGCCAATAATGCTGGTACTGGTGCTGACATCTCAATAAATTAATAGATTTCATCGTGCTCCGAGAAAAGTTCGGTTCTTAATCCCATCCACACCAACTTTTATTGCCGATTAGTTAACGGAAATATGTCGATTCATATAGCTTGGCAAATTTATTTTGGCCGGTCAGTTGCGCAGAAGAAGGAATGCGACAGTAAATCGTTAAGGTGAGATAAACGAACTCGTGACATCAACGACCGTAAGCTATGCTCGCTAAAAATTTAGTACCCTAATAACATTATCCTAACATTAATGTTTATGGTTATGCAAGGTTGAATTCAAAAATTTATAATCCTGAAATTTGATGATTTGAAAAAAACCATCTTCAAAATACTAAATATAAAGTAAATTTGCTTTTAATTAATTTTTATTTCATGATGATATCTCCATTCGTTCTTGAGATACGAACGATCTTTTAAAGTTTATGTTTCAAATCGATAACAATCAAATATGCAAGGTATGATTAAAAAATCATAACAACGATGTTTATGGCAAATAACAAATTCTTTATGGCGCATTAAATTTTCAACAAATTTGCTTTAAAATGTTTTTTACTTCATTATAATATCTCAATTAGTTCTTAAGATACGATTCTTTAAAATTTATGTTCCATATCTATTTCACTGTGCAGTTAACGAACATTAATGCCGTGCTTGATGAAAAATCATTAAGATCCTTTGGCGAGAAAAACAGCGACCCAAAAATCGAGAATCTGATACGATTAACAGCAGGGTAGTGGCAAAAACATGCTCAACTGTCTCAACAAGTGCCCAGTAAAGACACCCATTAGAACTTTAATGCTGCTATGAGCAAGTAATAATATATTCCCGGGTTTGACAGTAGCGATGTTGATAAACTAATTTGTTTATCTGCGTGTCTCATTCTAAGAGAACTGGTCTATAGTAGGCGAAGTCTCTCTTCAGCCCAATACAGTCCAATCCTATGTTTGGCCATCGCAAATGATATACCTGCTAGCAACCCAACCCAACCCACAAATGCTTTAGCGTGCCCTCTTGTGCTAGCTCATCTGCCGCTTCATTGCCAGCAACTCCAGAGTTACCTAGGACCCAGATCAAAGAAACTCTGTTATCATAACTCAATGTGTTTAAAGTTAATCAGAGCCGACACCGTTTTCACGACCTTGGAGAGCAGCTTGACTGTCTCAAAAAGATCGTGCTGTCACATTCTTCACCCCTCTCTCAAGAAGGATGTCAATAGCAAATACTTCCGTCTTGAATACAGTACAGTACGTACCCAGGCTGTAAGCTTGCTTAATCCGAAGTGTCTGGCAGTATACTCCTGTCCCGACACCTTCCGGCTTTTTGATTCATCTATGCAGATATCTGCCTGAACCAGAAAATTTTCGTTTTGGATCAAGGATTGCCGTTCAAGCAGTACAATCTGGTTTCAAGCATTAATTACTGGTGCTGATCCCGTCAAATCCCGATCAGTGCTTATAGTGTCTTCCACAGCCCATTGGTAGGACATGTCAGAGCAGTTTTGAGCATAATGCTTAAATCTGTAAATGGTAGTTCTGACCACTTTCTCTATATGTAAATGCAAAGGAGATACACCAAGCAGAACATCCCTTAGTTACCATTACAAAGTTGGCGTTGTGCTTATCGCACCAGAGATTACCAATCCAGCAATACCACTGATAACTGAAGTCTGTTGGGGTTTCCTATGCCAGGCTAGCGTTCCGTATGTGGTCATAGGTCTAACCAAAGTCACATAGACTGGCTCTATATGTCTTTCAGGGGTAAAACCCCAATTTTTTCCACAAAGACTACGACAAGTACACAAAGATAATCTAATTTTGTGTAAAACTTCCTGCATATGTCCATTCCAGGAGAGGCTTCTACTAATTGTACAAACTCAGAGGTGTGTTCTGTATTTCTCTCATAACAAAATATAACTTTTATGAAATTTGTATGCAACCAATCAAACAATTAAGTATTTTTGGTAATCTAAATGACAAATGGTATCAAATTGAAATAATATTTTATCCACATACAATTACTTTATACATACACAGGCGAATTTTTAGTATAACCCTTATCCATGTTAATTTTTAGCGCATTTATAAAACACATTTTATAATTTTCGTCTTCAATTAACATTAATGTTATATTAAATATCACGTTACTAGTACTAACAATTGCTCCTACACAATTTACCACTGAAATATTGAAGGCATTCACGACAAAAATATTAAAATAATAATCAGGACACCAACAACATAAAAAACACGACACAAGAATCCATAATAATACTTCGTTTCCTATCCGAACATTAGATTTATGTATAAAAGAGAGAGTTTTCATCGTTAACATCACTATCATAATCAAAAATGCGATAACTCGCGATATTACATATAAATAAATTAAATTATCTTCCCTTATAAGTGGTATTGAGTATAAAATCATTGTTATTGTGGTTACAATCCATAAAATGTTAATACAATGTTTACACAGCGATTCGAATGCGAGAATATTATCTATGTTTAACATTATCATTAAAGAGTAAAGAGCCAATAAAAGATGATTATGAACATCGTATAAAACAAAGAACAAAATTGTCGAATTTAAATAAGAAATAGTAATAAATCCAATTTTTGTTATAAACAGAAAAATTAAATAGTAACTAACGTGGCTTATTACGTGATAACCTCTTCTTTTCTTTTCATTAGTTTCGGTGTAATCACCATATTTAATTAAATAAATGACAAAAACGTTTACTAAAATCGAAATTAAAGCTATTATTAACGTAGATATCTCTGTTATATTAAGCTGCCATAAGGATTCCTTTGTGGTGATTGTTTTATTTATTCTTGTATGCATAGTATTCAATCCAATAGTTGATATTATAAGTATTGGTAATCTAAGATACTGAAACAAACAAGACTAATTTAAATGAAAAAAAAACATTGTGTTGGTAACGCAACAAATTTATTTAAGGCGGGTTGAATTGGGTACAAACCGTTAAAATGCGTTGGATTACTATCACTCAAAACAAACATAAACTAAAAGTTGTCAGCGAATATATTAAAAAATTTGCTAAATGAAATTTTGAGCAAGAGGAAACACAATATTTTACAACATTATAGACAAATAGCCAATTGAGTAGAATTAAATAGCGTGTACAGAAAAGTACGCACTATATATTAATGACGTGTATAGTAAGTATAAGTGTTGACTGTGGTAATTAAAATCAATCTGAGTAAGATGTTTTCATTTACTTGAAATGTATACAACCAACTAAACGATTAAGTATTTCGATAAATAATTATTCATTAACATATTTTATTTAAATAAATGAAATAAATTCAACATAATGTTTTTACCAACTTTAAACGACACTATTAATATATTAACAAAATGCATATTTTATTAACATTTACATACTAAAATAAATTATGCACACACAAATATGCTTTTAGTATTAACCTCTACAAAATTAATATTAAAAACACGTCTAAAACTCATTTTAAAATTACTATCGACAATTAACATTAAAATTATATTAAATATAACGTTACTGGTACACGCAACCACTCCAATACAATATATCATCGACGTATCAAAAATATTAACGTGAGAAACGTTAAAAAGAAGATCTGGACACCAGCAACATAGAAAGCTTAGCACAAGAACGGATTGTAAGATGTCGGTTTCAACCCGAATACAACTTTTTTGCAAATAAATTGTAACTCTAATCATTAACATGGTTATAATGAGGAAAAATCCTATTACACGTAAAACTATAAATGAATAGATTAAAGTATCATCAACTATAATTAATGATATTGAATATAAAATCATCGTAATTGTTATAATCCATAAAATTTTACTGAAGTGTTTGGTCATACTTTCGTTTTCCAAAGTATAATTAACATTAAACATTATCATTAAAGAATAGAGAGCTAATAAAAAGTGATTATGCGTATCGTATAGGACGAGAAAAACGATTTTCATGTTTAAATGTGTAATAATAATAAATCCAATATTTGTGGTTAATAAACAAATTAAAAAATAACCTACATGGCTTATTACGTGATAAGCACTTCTTTTCTTTTCATCTTTTTCGTTATTTTGACTAAATTTAAGAAGGTAAATAAAAACAATGTTTATTAAAATTGAAACAACAGCTAACAATAACGTTAATGTTTCTGTTATGTTCAGTGGCCAAAGTGATGTGTTTCTTTCGTCAGTTCCGTTTATAATTTTTTCTATTTCTTTGTTTAATTCCATGACTGTGAAAAGGCAGCTAAAAAATAGAAAATATAGTTTTGATAAAAGATGTATTAAATATTCTACAAAATTATTTAAGATCATATTGGATTATAATAAGTAAGATATTTGAATAATAATCTTGGGTGGATTATGAAGTGAAATTGGAAGGACAAACTTAAGCCTTGTTTGTTGTTAGAGTATTTTCAAAATGGTGTTCAACCAAACTTCAACTTCTTTGCAAAATCCAACAGTTGGATTTTTATGAGTTGAACAATTCTTTTTAATTTCTTTTATTACTGTCTCGTTAGAGAAAGATGTAACATGCAGGATGTAGTAAAATGAAAAAAGAAGAAACGAGAAAAGGAGTGAAAGGAACATGTAGAAAGAATGAGAATAAGTAAGAATTTGTGTGTGTGGACAACCGGAAGAAAAAAAAGGACGATCCCCCAAGAGATTGACTCAGAAATAGTGCTCTTCATCTGCGGAATAAGTCCAAAATATGAGGCTTGACAAACACGGAATTACTTCTAGTGGAATGTAGAAGTTTGACGAGCGTGTTGATGCTACCATGAGTTGAATTAAAGCCATAAACATACATAAATTCTGTCTTACAAAACCTTACATGTTTTCCATCCAGAGTCGCTAAATATTTTGCATTAAAGTATGTGCTATATTCTTGTCTTGTTTTTTTTTGCAAGTGAAACATTTCTTTCCAGGGTTTTACACCCTTGGTCAATCCGCTTGAGTACTCTTCCCCTAAATTACAGTATTTTTATGCCTTCAACTAGATTTTGTAGCTGGTACCGGTAAAATATAAGAAATTAGGTAGATTTTGAAATAATTTCAAAGACGTTTTCATTTTTACCGCGTACGAATTACCTTTTCGTAAATTATTAACGAAAATAAATCCTGTAACTGTTTAATCCACGACACAAAGTCGATTAAACCAAAAATAGTTATGGACAGATTGGTGAGATTAAAGTTTCGAAATTGATTTTAATACAGTTGTATTGAATTGAACACCTATAAATTGACATCACCGACATAATCAGAAAGAGATTATTTGGAAAATCCGAAAATTTTATCCAGAAATTATTAAAATCAAGGGTTAATAAACAAAATTAATAAGAAATAAATATCAGTGTAGCTTTATCAAACAAATTTAAAATTAGGATGGGAAATTTTCTTACATTCTTTACTAAAACACTATTTAACACTAATTCTAAATTAAATGATTGATAGCACATTTTACTTACTCTGTATATCTAATGGATTTATTTTTCTTAACAATGAAATTTTATTCCATCACTTTCTTCTCTAAACTAGGATTCTGTATTATTCTTGCATCTTTATTAATATATTGTTGATATATTTAATTGATATTCAATCCTCTTATTTTAATTTTTTCTCTAAAACCAACAACATTTGTAAGAAATACCACTTTAAATTCACTTTATACATTTCAAGAAATACGCACACGTTAAAATATTTCAATGTTATAACCAAGTCTTCATTTCACTGAATAAAATGGTATGCTCTACGTAAATCTGTTTATGTCAAAGGTTGCGGCACTTATTATTTTTAAGCGATAAAGATAAGGAAGTATACTTTTGATGTTAAATATCTAACTACAAAAATGTTAGTTGTGCGTTTCAGTTAAACTGGTTAATCTCAAGGAAAAATAAACTTAACCATTATAGTCCAAAGGTGCATATTTATAATGCTATCAAATTAAAGTGTCATTCCAATTAAATTGATTGATGAAAATTGCTTGCAATCAAACGTTAATTTCGCTTGAATTATAAAATGAAAGAAATTTCAAAATTTATTTTCTGCTTAACATCATATTTAATTAAATTTCATTTCATTTTTAACGTTGCGTCGTTTCAAAACATTCACTACGAAAACGGTTGATAATTAAAATGTGACTTTTTATTTTATTTTGTATTAAACTTTTTTGTGTAATTTATTTTTACTTCCATCGACGTCGTAGAGTCTTCTTTTATAAAGCGGTTTACCCGCCGGTGGTCCTGTCAAGTTAAAAACTACGTTACCCAGTAAAGAATTCGTATCTCCCAAGGAATGCGGGTTTTAGAAGTAGTCCACAAATTCCACATGTTTAACGAAGACAATAACTAACTAAGCTCTCAATTTAGACCGTAATTGGGGAAATGAAGACGTGCGCGGCTTACAAACGATGATATAACCACAACAGTACTTAATCAGTACAATAATTAATCTAGTAGTGCTTTTGGTCCGCAAATTCCAGATAATTTGTTCTCGTCGCGTAGTCGTATGAGTTGTTAATTGAGGTGTGTTATTCTTTTTCAGTTAAACAAAACGCAAATTAAACTTCGATAAAAGATGTTGTCAATAAGATCTTATTTATAACTTGATATGTAAATTATAGTTAATGATGTAACAATTTAAAACACCCACGATAATTGACCAATTAAGATCTTTTTTGAATTTATGGTTATTTTATGCAAAAAGAAACAAAAATTTTAATTAGATTAATTTATTTTTTTTTTCGAATAAAATGTAATAATAATAATAATACTTATCCCTATTATATGTGTACAAAATAATGTAATAACACGTTAATATTAAACTTTTAATGTTGTATAATTGCTATAATTATTTTTTTATTGATTAAGTTGTGTACCACGATCGTTATCAGAGGGCAAAGCTAATTCTGCTCTACAATGCAACATTTTAAATAAATTCGTATAAAACTGTTTGTTTAATAAGGTCAATACGAAAACGTTAAAGATTGAATTAGTAAATCCGATTATATTAGCGTGCCAAGACAACAATCCATACAATTTATTTTCGGATCCATAAGCGATGTATAAGAAGAACCATTTGAAAATCCAAGAGAAAACATAAGTAAAAGCAACAGCTAATCTCAATCTATAATTGCTATCGTTTTGTTGCTCACTATTTAAATTATAAGAAATTAATTTTCCGATAAATACAACAAACAAAATTCCATAACCGACACTGGACATAATTTCGGGAAAATTAATATGAGGATCGCCAACGGTACAATTAATAATCGATGCGATACTTATAACAACAATAAGCATCCAAGAAGCGGTTAAGAATTTCCTGTAATTCGACGAAATGAAATAGTCGAACAAGAAAATTGTAATTAACAATATCGTTGCGAACTCCAAGTTGCCCTCAATGTCTTTGAACACGCAAATGACTTCATCCCCTTCGACTGTTGCTTCTAATAAAAAGTTTACCGGTACGAAGATTAAATAAAGTAGGTCGTATATCGCCCAGTTGGAAATGTAGGAATTTGTCGGTGTCCTCATCGACTTGTTCTTTAGAATCGTCCTGATGATGACATAATTCGTCCAGATACCCACAAAACATATTATCGTTGAGAATATCTCATACGACAGCTTAATCTTTTCCGAATCGGCAAACATCCCAATTGAGTAGTTGAACATCTTATAAACTACAATAAGAATTAAAATTGACAGAAATTCACGAAAAACTATTTATTTAAAAGCACACATTTAAATTCTTTTGTAATTGTAATTGTTCAAAAGAAAGAAAAGTTCTATTTATTTATGCTAAAACGCGAATCATAGTTATTTTTAATTTTATTGGCTTACCAGTTATATACAACAGTTACTTTCCTTTATTGATATTTATTTCATTCATTACGTTAATGTAATTCATTCTTAAAACTGATTGAAAGAAATTCTCAACGTTATGTTAACATATAAATATAAAATCAAGTGAAAGACACCGATAATATTTACGTTTCAAAACAAATAAAACGTATGTCAATCGTAAATAGCAATCGATATAAATACGGATAGAAATTGCTAATCAAAATAAGTAACTTTCTTCCCCGATTCCAATTTAAATCATCTAATGCATTAAATAAAATTAAATTAAAAAAAAGAAAACTTAAAAAAAATGCTTACATTTTAATGATGTTAACAGCCACTAAATTTTGCAACTGAAGACTTCAATATTACTCGTAATAATGTCGAAATAAGTGTGGCAATTCAACTGATTGTTTTAACAGTCAACGAGACGAATGAGAAGAAGTGGCTAGAAATGATGCGCCTGTTACGTCACTTTTTTACATATTTTACTTAAAACGAGGTTACTGCTGGACCCCTCTTAACGAAAGAATAATTGTTTTAATTGCTAATCCTCATACTTCGCTTTTTCGACGAATGTTTTTAATGCCACGAGATAATCCCGGATGGTAAACATCTAAGCCTTTTCCGTTTCGATTAATTACTAATTATGCTAAGTATTGTACTGGTGCACTCGTGCTGATCGAGGAAAAAAACTGTGAGTGCGTTTCCTTTTGAAAATATTTCATATCGTAAACATCTTCGTCCATTCATGAACTTATAGTACAACTATAAGACGTTAATGATTTGGTTTAAACAATTTTTCTGCAATTTTGAGTAAAAATAAAAATTTTAAAATGTAACAAATGGAAATCTATTAAGCCAGATTTAAAGAATTACAACGTAAAGCTTAAATTGAAAATATTACTTTAGAAAGCAATAATTGTGTTGATATGGAGATACTAAAAATATGTCTGCCAAGAAAACGACATGAAATGTTATGAAGCTGTTACCGATTATGTCATCACGAATCGATGTATCTAGCAGCACAGTTACAAAATTTCATATACAAAGTGTGCAGAAGAAACCCCACCATTGCAGAAAAATTTATGTAAATCAATTACGGTTTTTTGCAACGAAATGAAAAACTGGAGCTACTCTATAAACATGTTGCGAAACTATGAATCTGAGATATTGTAACATTAAACACTAAAAGTAATTAAAACAAGTTGAAAAGTGTCAAAATCTGTATCCAGAGAAATAAAATCTTTGTAGACCCATCTAATAACTTTTTGTCGTATAATTTACGTATAATCGTACAATTTTCGTATATATTAAGAATTTGAATTTTCTTAGGGTCATCTTATTTATCAAATCATAACCTGGCGGGGAATTTTTACCTTTGAAGATATGTAGTTTATATTCTTCTTCGTTAATTTCGGGAATTAAGTTGTTGACTAATTAAGTGTTGAGAATTTGTCGTACCAGTTTTCTACGAATTTATGATGATCTTTGTCGAATAGCGGATTATCATCTGGTGTGAATGCGGCTACCCAAATCATTATCTTATACTTTCATGTTTCCACTAATTCTGACAGCTATATTTTCATGAGGCACGTATGCATCTTAAGCTGTGATTAAGCATGACTCGGTGATGATTTATCTAAATCTTTATATTTCTCCAAGATTGGGAAGAATATGAGATAGGTAATCAGGATCATTAGTGATCCTAATGGTATCACATATAACGTAATCATTATTTAAAGATGTTATACATGTTAAATTAAGATTCTAGGTCCTCTATGTAGGTGTACATACAGGACTTCAATTAAGTGATACTTCTAACTTTAATTAGAAATAAATGACGCCACACACTAACGTACCCTTAAGTATTCCTTAAAAGATCGATTATAAATATTGGGGTCAATTTGTAACAATTTGGTGGTACAAGATATTTAGGTCACTCTAGCAACAAGTGTGTAAAGCTAAGAGCCGCAGGTAGCGATTCGTTCACTAGTACCGATTTTGTTCTATATCGAATAGAACACCTAAAATTTGTGAATTTATGAGACCTTTATGAGTATTACAAGGACGTCTAATTGGGCTCTACAAAAACAAGGTGGTGAACAATGGTATCATGTTTGCAGTAACTAATATTCTTTAAATGATGTAATCTTATATTTGAAATGCATAGTTACTGCAATTAACCGGCGGAAAATATTTTGACGTACAAAAATTGGTTATAAATTGAAAACAGACGAAGATTTGAATACCTCTAATTGTCTGGAAAATAGTTAACGTAATTGGCACACTGCTTTACACGCGGTTTTGACGTTTTTGTTCATATTTGGATGAACGTGGAAATTATTCTAATGAATCTAAAAAAAACACGTTTGTCTTTACAGTTGTTAACAATTAAGTAAGAAAAATTTGAATCAAATTATCCAGTAAGAGATTTTAACGTATAATTTTGGCGACTGATATCTATTTTCATCATTCTTGTGCATTTAATATGGCTAAATCGAGCTAATGATAACTTCCTTACTGTAATCATGTACATTCATCACGGTTTATTTCTGGACATCAACGCACTCACTTGGATCTATTCAAATGGAGATTTAAGACGTTGATTGTTTTAGAACATTTTATGATATATTAAGAATTTTTATGACAAGTTGTTTGTCAGAACATTTAATTCATTCTTCCAGAAAAATAGGTAGGATAATATGACCCATATATTCCCCTTTATGACCTATACTACGTAAATTACCTCCGAACAGTAGCGCTTAAGTTTCTTAACACTAAAATTTTATATTTTTCTCTATAAACTTTTACGAGTTCTTATAGTATAATATATAATATTTTAAAAAGTCAATTTCAACTTGATATAGAATGAATAATTCTTTTTGAAATTAATTTACTTTTAGTTCCGCCAACAAGTTTTAAATTATTATTACAATTTTTATGTAGTTGTTATTAGAAGTAATTAAATAAATATTGTTTTTGTTTTTATCAATACGTTTTATTTAGGTTTTTATTATTATTAAACATTAAGGAAAATCGTGGTAGTGATAAAGAAAATTATTCATCATAACTTTTTTAAAACCTTTTTTATTTTTTTCAGGGGAATTCTTCTGATACATATTTTTTGTTTGGAGTACTTTCAACTCAATAAAAAGATAATCCGCAATTATTGACACAATTAGGTAAGATACTACATTTTTTGTGGTCCCTCACTAACCTTAATAAAATCGAATTTACATTAATAATTTAATTATCACAGATTTTTAAATTTAAACAACACTTATTAAATCACCTTATGTTTCTACAGTAAACAATAAATTAGTAGTATTATCTAAAACATTTTCTAATGATAATTCTTTACTATGACGAAAATAAATTTTATACCTATATCCACACTGAGAAACAAAATACGTAATAATAATACAACAAATACAAGTTAAACTTATCGTTATTGTCGAATTCATGATTACGACATTAAAACGACCTAAATAACAAAGCGTAAAAAGTAAAATATTTTTAATTACCCACAACGAAATATACAAAGAAATTAAGCGTAGTCGAAAAACGGAAAATTCTTCCGAATTAATTTTATTTTTACAATTTTTATTTGCAACTTTAATAAGACACGTTACTAAAAGCATTAAATGAAGAACGCTTTGGCTGGCTTGAAAAACCATGGAAAAATCGTGAATATAAACGGATATAATACACCAAACGAAAAAGACGTAATAATAACAATTAGACATTTTTTTCTTCGCGTATTCATCAATGCACAACATGCTTATTATAACCGCCGAATTAAAATTGATAACGGGCTCTAACAATAGTATATGAGATAAAGAGGTGTAACAATTCAAAATTCTCGTTATGTATATAGCTTGTAATACAACTAAATAATTAATCGAAATTAAAGCGAATAACTTAACATATCTAAATATTTGTGAAGTAGCTAAGAAGGTTCTTGAGATGATAGCAATTGTGATGATGCAAGCTGAGATACCACCCACGGTTAATGCAGAAGTAATTATTCCTAATATAATAGTTAATGTTGAATTATCTGGCGAATACTGCCTTGATGTTATGTTTAAGAATTTTAATCTGTCATCTAAGGCAAATAAAGTATCCATCTTCTTTTCTTCTTAAAACTAAAAAATAATTAACATTTTTAGTTTACAAATACGGTTTTGTTCTAATTAATTATGAAAAGAAAGAGTAACTAGAAGTTGGTAAATAACTTTGTTTGTTTTGAAAGAATGAAGGTCACAAGATGGGTACTGTTTGAATGCGACACAAACGCTCTCGACACAGGTTGAAATTTACGCGAAAACAATCTCGAAAGAGATATACAAAAAACACTTGCCTTTCGAGTTCTTTTGCTAAAGAACGGAGCAGCAATTTTCCCGTAGAAAACGGGCCGTAGTTGAAATATTTATAAACCAAACGAGAAAACACAAACGCCCGTGCAACAACCGAGCGCAACTTGTTGAGATCCCTACGATCACGTATTTAAATATAGAATGGAATTTCCCGAATGGCGCTGCACGCTCCAACGCAATACAAACTTCACGATCGCAAATAAAGAATATAAAAGTTTTTCCTTCGTCTAACGTCGCCGTCTCGGTGAAAGTTTTCCATGCCTGCTAGTCGATTGGTTGAAAATACTTACATGAAAATGTGTGAAAAATTCAAAAAATTTTATTAAAAAAATAATCTAGCGGAAACAAAACATTCACTGCAGTTGTAATGAACACAACGAATATCTTTTTGAACAAGATTAGATAGTAGTCTGTATTATTTTTATATCTACAATATTATACAATTACAATGCAATAAAAGTCTATAAAATGGTTATAATAATTTATTTATTTTTGGTTGATATCAAAAAATCGATAACACAATTTAAATTTGTTCACACACAAGATAGTCAACTTATTACACTTAAGTGTATTTTATTTCAGACAATTAATACATGTTTGAAATGTAATTTTCAAACTACATGAAAACGAAAATTACTTTTTACGCAGAAAACATCTTTTTAAATATCCAAAGAAAGAGCTTCGAGTATAATCTTCAAGGTGAACAATAATAGGGACAAGAACTAGGGACAGATCACGTGCAATATGGAAGGATAGGGTGGCGGACGTTGCAAAAATTCGAAAAAATCGAAAAATTCCTAAACCATTCAATTATTTAACGATTCAATAAGTTATAATTTAAAAGTTGTCATTTCATACTGTGTATTTGTAGTTCAAAACGAATAAATTATTATTAGTATTGGTAATGGTGTTGTTAGCAGGTATGTAAATGCGAAACTGGAATTTGCCAATCCTAACTGTCAATGTTATTACCGTTAAAACGCGTTATTAGTCCCCTTTATTGACATCTGACAAAACTTTTCAACTCATAAGGGCACTTGTTTAAGACAACAGATATCGAAATTTGTGCCTGGAAATTGCGATTTGCAGAAAGCGTTAATTTTCTGTTACCATTTGAAGAAAACTGCTGCAGAATCGCATTGAATGATTGTTGAAGCTTACGGTGAGTAAACTATTGGTAAATCACATTGCAATTTGCAACTACTAAGCTGTGGCGCCTCATATGGTCTTACACCTGCGTCATTAATCTCAAAAACTCCCTTAGAATCATTTCCAATTCACAGTTACACCAAACATCCGACACTTTTACAACGTCATCAAACCCCGTTTAATCAAATAGATTCTCCACAAACTCACCAGCAAATTTTACTAAAACACGACAACACATCCCAACCCAATAATTCAAAACAAAACCAAAAACCAACACAAAACACAAGTTTCCACACGAACTTAACATGGCCGACATCTAGGCTTTGCCAAGCTTAAAACCTCTCAAATCCTCCATCTCCACAATACAAAAACTAAAATATGCCCAACTAACTTTGGAAGTCTTGGTGGAATCTACACTTACATCGATCCCTTGCTCACTTAACCTAAACAGAAAACGATTGGCATGCTACAATCACATTCGAGAAAACTATTAATAGTAAATACTCGCTTTAATAAGAATTTAAGTAGATTTTATAGACCATCGTTCCGGAAAAGCTTTCCACACGCTATTTCGTTATATACAGCGTGTTCGCAAATTGGCGGATAATCTACACGTATCGACATTCTTCGTTCGATTCTAAAGCGAAAATTTTAATTGTAAAATGTTGTACCATGTTTCATACGTCTTCATGCGGTTCTCAAAGGTCGGATAATTTATCCATAAATAATCATTAATATTCAATATCTGTTGATAAATAAGCTGTAATTTAGAATAAAAAGAATTTTGAAAACTAGTTTTTTTTGTTAAAGTTATTTTCTTTAGCTTTAAAGATCGTTTTTAACATTTTTTCATTATTAGTCGTTCGTAGAATGTCGCTACGTATAGATTATCCGCCAATTGCTGAACATCCTGTATATACTTGAATATTATGTGTCAAGTATTGAACATTTCAGCTGTTTCTCTTCTATCCCCTCTACTAGAGCTCTCAGCTTAATTCTTCTCTAACATCCTTATGTTGAAATCTGCCCCTTCTGTTTTTTTCTACAATTTTTGCAGACCCCTCATCTTTGCTGTTCCTATTTTTTATTGGAGTCCACATTCACTATATTGCTCTATGAGCTATCTGGACAATATAAATATGGCTTAAGCAGAGTGTACAAACATGCAAATGTCACCTCATTAGAACAGATAAGTTTCAAACGTAATGACAAACCTGTGCAAGTATACGGTGCGCCTCAAGTCTAATATAGCTAAAACAAGACGATCGAACGATTACTATTGACCATTAAATATTGGTAACTTTATAAAAAAATTAACTTATATTCTTGAGGTTTTTGAAATACTTCTAGTATAAATTTGTACATAAAGACAAACTTTTGTATTTTTCTAAGTAAATCGGTTTATTTAATTTTTTGTTGGAGTTTCTCCTTTTGTTAAATTATTCAAAAAGCACCGATAGGGTAAAATTTTTGTATAAAGTCACCATGAAAATAATTTTCGTCATCTTTATCTTTTACTTGTATCGATGCAAGATGGAGAAATTGTAGAGATGGTAAGAAAGAGCTTTGAGCAAAGAATAGGGGCAATTATGGTATTCACCAGAAGTGAAAGAAACCCACACACGCTCGATTTCAACGACAATTTCAATTTATAGCGAAAGTCATTATACTCCAATGATATCGTCGACTATTGTAGTCATCTACGTGTATCATAAGCCCAACAATGCTGAGATATCAAAAAATAAACACTATCTATATAATTAAACAAAATTCAATTGATTCATCAACTCACAAAAGATGACCCTGACAGAAGAGTGAGACGAATGCCCAATATCTCCAAAAAATACACATTTTGGCTGGAATATTAGATAACGTGAGACCTCTATTTTTAAAAGCCTGACAAGGACATCATATTCGCGATTATTAGAAAATGAAATAATTCCACGAATAAAAAAATCGCAGAATAATTTCAATTCAGTGTTGTCTTGCAGCAAAATGGAGCGCCACCACATTATGCAGCTATGGTATGAACGTACCTTAATACCATCGTTAATGGATGGTGGAAAGACCGCCAGAGATCTAGCAAATGGCAGACTTGATCTCCAGACACCCTTGGATTTTTTTTTTATGGAGATATTTAAAATTTAAAGTGTAAGGTGGAGACCATTAAGAAATTGAAAGATAAAATTATTGAAGATAAAACATCGATTCGTGTGACTAAGGAAACTTTGTAAAGGTGGAATCACTGCCAAGAAGTGGAATTGGTTTTATTTATCAAATTATTGCATTAAATATTTACGAGTATTATTAATTTATTTCTTGAAACAAATTTAAAATAATTTTTTAACATTTATTATTGAAAATATAACGTACCTTGTTCTAAATTGATTATAAGCAAAACCTATAAATAGTTTCGAGATTGAGAAACCATCAAGTTAAATCTAGAAACTCAGTTGAAATTGAAAAGCAGTACTTTACATCGTACTGTGAGAATTTCATTATAGGAAATGGATTTTACCGCTAATATCCGCTCAAATCAAATATTTTAAACTGCAGTAATTATACAAACTTCTTATCAAAATACTAAACAAAATTGTTGTTGGAAAATAAAGTAATCTAAGTCAGATATTGGGCAAAATAATGACTAAGAATTTAGGAGTCATACTATACATTATCAATTCTTTTAAATAAAAGTATTGTCTCGTTATGGAAATTAAAGCTTGGTTATTTCTCAATAATACGATGATAACCGTTGTGTATTAGATAACATTTGACATCTGTTCGGAATTTGCGTCTGCAGCCCGATAACCACGTCAGATTTAATAATTTATATAGTTTCTACGCAATAATTAAAAATATGATTTAAAATTGAAACAAGAAATTATCATTAAAACTTTTTATTTAAAATAAATTAACTTAAACTATTCGGGTAATCCATGCTCTTCTTGTAATGGTCTGAAAGTGTTACCGCCGAGTCTTCTTATCCTAAATATACGTTTAATATTATTATTAAATCCTTCCTCAAATTTCATAATAATCAAAAAGTTCGCTATCGGAACAAGCTGCAGTATTGCCAAAAAGTAATAATCGCCTAGTACAGGTGTAAATCTATACGTTAATTCTGCTAATAGAACAAACAAGATTGTTATCAATCTACTAGAAATAAATATTAAAACTATCAAAAGGGACACTTGATAATCGACACCGGAATATTCACTAATTTTTAATGTTGTCCTAATTTGATGAATATGTAAGTGAACCAATAAAACAGCAAGTATCACGAGATACGGCGGTATGAACAAAAACATGAACTTATAGCAAATGAGAAGTAAAACAAATATTATTATGGCCAACACCCAATAAACAGACAGAACGAATATAAAATACTTATCAACGCAAGCTAACTGTACTCTGAGTAATAATATAAACATTAACAATGCTATTAAATAGAGAGTTACAAAATATATACTACCAAAAATCGCATGAGTTTGAAAATCTTCAAAAATATCATCGTCTCTTGTAAACAACTTATACAATGTAGGGCAAAAGAATTGTCCAATTATATCGAAAATTGCAATGTGAATTATCACTATGTAGACTGGTCTAAATAGCTTCGTTTTTATCAAACCGTATAAAATTAAGCAATTTACAAATATATTTGTTAACCCGGTTAATATTATAAAAATGTTTACAATACTAAACGAATGTTGTGAACCTTCTTCGTAGGTAGTAAACGTGTCGTTCATTCTTGATTTATATCTGAAAAATTAGAATAAATAAATAAATTTAGTAAAGAAAACATTAACTGTACTACATTTCATACAAGATTATGATTTGCTACAAACGAAATAAATTCCCCAAAAACCCTCCTTTATTCAGATATTTCTAGATACACATATTTCTTCATATGTAAATTTCTGATACTATAAATTCCACAAAGGATGCAAAGCGTCGGTGATTCAATACAAATATATTTTACCACTTCAACATATTTCTTTTTCCTCCTTACTATAAATTCGTTTATTATAACAATTTAAGTATTCTCATAAATATTCAAAAAGACATTTATTAACCAAATTAATCGCAAATTCGATATCGTTATCTTAACTATGTACTAGTATCATTTAAGATTATGAATACCATAAATTATAGATTATGAATAGTCACAAGTCAAAGGACTCAATAAAGAATAAAAATAAAATCATTACTTACATTTAAAATATTTGTAATCCCTCAAAACACAAATAAAAGAATAAAAATTCCGTGTTAACACCAAAAGCTTTAACCGCGAACACTTGTATCACAATTACAGCGATGATGCTCTACAGTCATGATAACTCAATTAAATAATTAGCCTTGGACTGCTTTTAAAATTTCTTATAACCGTAATTTTTGGAAACTAAAATACATAAAACGTTTAGTTTCGAATCGAGAGCAACACTCCAGGAATAAATCGTTGATGATAATGCAGCGCGCAATACATTGGGCCGTATTTAAGTAACTTACCCGCGATGAGAATAAATATTTACAATATAATCTTGTCTTAAGACTCCTCCTATCTATTCGTTATCATCGTAAGTACATATGACGTTGCACACAAAAAATGCAGCAAATGTGCGCGCGTTTGAAATCGAAATCGGAAACGCAAAACGTAATCCCCGTTTTTAAAGCATTTCAGATAGATAGAAAATAAAACAAAGTGAGTTAAAGCGTGCGTATTATCGCATGTTAGTATGAGTTAAAACTTAGAATGATTAAAAATTGGTTAACCGAGATATGATTAAAACATTTCTTTTCTAAGAATTCATTAAAGACATTCAAAATATATATTTTTGTTTAGTAAAGATAAGGAAATGAATCAACAATTATAAGAAGTGTTGTTTCTTGTAGTATATAATAATTCGAGGTAAATATTTTCGGTTTTCTTTAAAAAAAAATATTTATTTCAACTTTATAACAAATTATTTTATCGAAATTCACAAAAACGGAAACAAGGAAGTGTGATTTATAAATTTGTCATCGCAGATTACGTTGTGATTTATATAAACATTAGTTTGTCAAACAAACTAATAAAATTCGTTAAATCTTTTACACTGTTATACAAAATAGAATTTGTCAATTTATTTATCGGAATTAAAACAAAATGCTTTTCCATTGATCAAAACAGATAGGTCAAATTGCAAACCTTTCATCAAAGTTGTACATTTTACACGGAATTTATTGTTTTATATTACAGCTCTGTAATTCTTAAGAAGTCAATCATACTCTCTAAATCGGTCAATTGAATTGATACTGTTGATAATGGGTCTAAGTTTTATGATGTACTATTGTACTGCTTTATCTTTTTAGCATTACACCAGATACACAAAGATATAGGTTGGTTTTTTAAATTATTATGCGTATAATTTGGCATAATCCATGTTACTTCTTTATTGGCATCTTGATGACTTCTTTGGCAGTTGATTTTGGATGATTTCATTCCTCAAAACATCAAAAATCCCTTTCATATTTACATTCTGCAGTTACATAGTTAGTGCCTAAATCCGGTGCTCACCTTCTTTGAGAGCAATAGTTAAGTTAGATTCATGCCAATTTAAAGAAATTAATGGAATTAGAAAGTTGTACTTTTATACCTAATTTTGATAATGGGAATCAAAATTTAGTAAGAGATATCACAGCTATTTTTTGTGACCTCACGATTATGCAAACTAGAAAGGAAAGTGCCGGTTATACGTAGACATAATGTTGAATGATCTATGACAGCTTTAGTTGTGCCATAATTGTGCCAGAATTGTTGTGTGATCTAGCTTACCAGCCAACACTCTAGCATTGGCAAATCACGTTTTTTTTGGGTTTAAATTTGATTTATAGAATGAATCTTTTACATATCCAGGAAATTTTATAATGATACTATGATGAGAATTTAAGACAGCTTTATTTCTAAAATAACCTGGTAATAAGCGGATAAGAAACGTTTTATGATTACACCTTGGCTCTCAAAAATAATTTAGATCAACAAGAATTGTCGTCTCGTTTAGATAATAACTGCAGACATTCTACAAATACACCCACAGATATTATTTCAGTAGTTATAATACTCTCCAAAAAAATGTAAGTACACACAGAAAGAAAGGTTAAACGACAATCGTTGTAAGATAGGGGGAAGCGAGACCTAAGGGTCTAGATAAGAAAAGACTCCCTCACTCTGAAACACGGGTTAGTGACGTTTCAATTTGTCGTAAAACAACAGCATTCTCGTATTCCGCCACAACAATCCCCGACTTCCATTTAACGTATATCCTCCGCAAAAATGGTCTTGTAACCGCAAAGTAACGATAAGAATAATGTTTTATTTTTGTTAATCTCACATTACATTACCGGTTACCCAAATAAATACATGAAAAATGTTTTTGAAACAATTTATAAATGTTGATAAGTGTTAGATTAATTATAAATTTTTGGTTGCAGATAACGCGTAGTTCTCCAATTCGACATATGAATTAGATGAAATGTGATTGCGTAATAGCGAGACGTCAATAACTGGGGTGATGTCAATTAACTGAAGGTAAGTTGGCTTCCCAAAGTTAACCAGCGCGTATAACAAAGTATTATTACGTTACACACCAAACTAGAAGAGAGTTGGCGTGTTGGAAATTACTTGTTTGGTGGAAACTTGCTGATACTTTATCACCTTCTAACTCTACCCACACATAATGTAACGATTTAATTAAAATATTCTTCTCTGTACTTATAACAACACAAAAAAAAATCACAACCATTTATGTAGTCACTTGAGAGTAAAGAAACAAAAACCTTCGTCTTCTAAGATAAATAGAAGTCATCAAAAAGCTTTTATCAACACGTCTGCAATAATTACGGTTTTAATAAAAAAACAAAATAGCCCAAAGATTTCGTGTTCCTTTTTATATTGAAAGCAGAAAATACTATGAAAATTTACGGGTATTCATTATAAGAAGTACCCATCAAACCTTTTTTTGCTTTAAAGGCTACACAAATATCCAGATCCCGCTATCTTTAACAAAAAAAAAGGTGTTCGTGTGCGACGCTATTAGCACATCGAAGAACCGTCGAAAAAAATTAACCCGTCTGAAGTTTTGAAGTAAAAACGTACTATTAATCATTTTAAAAAAGCCCGTTGTTCTCTTGAAATAAAAACGATTTTAAAGGTAAAAAAGGTATACTGGGTTAATGTTAAAAACAACTGATACAAAAAAATGTTAAAACGTGGATTTGATATCAAAAAAAGACAAAGTTACAATAGTAGATTATTTCTAAATGGTTACAGATTTTGTGTATTGATAAATATAGATAACTATTTAATGATTAAATTCCTGCGAATTTGATATAAATCTCTAAAATACACTTCAAACCAACGTTTCAATTATGGGTTTTCAGATATTTCCGTACGTATCAGTGCGCACTGGCGGTTATCGAAATGGTTCACATTTCACAGTTTCCAATAGATTATATCAGTTATTAGTACTGGCAAATATCCGGAGAATTATACGTTGAATAATTATTGCTGAATAATTATTACCAAATAATATTCGCAGTAATTTGAAAATAATATATTCCTCTGGCGTTACTATAATATTTTAAATTTTATGCAGTAAGCTGAAATTTTAATTAAACCATGCTACAAACAAAATTATTATAAATAATATTCCGTATTTTTGTAATTTTATTATTTGTAAAGCTTAAACTAATCTATTCTAAATTGATGTAAATAAAAGAAAAATAAAAGAAAATTCTCGCATCTACACAATCCATAATTCATGGTTTATTAATCTGTTTTGCCGATGTGGCATTATGAATATTAATGAAAATCGTTGCGAAGACAATTCTAAGTTCACTTATTGTTGATTTTAGTAACAAACAAAAGATGTTCAGAGATATTCCTTATTTGCAAGCAGAATTTATTACGATAAGACACATAATCGTTTCAAGCGCCAAATTAAGAACTACGCCAGCTTTTTTGTGATCACACTGAAAAATAACTGTATTGTTTGTGTATCATGTCCTCAAAGTCACATCAATTATACATGAAAAGGAAAATAAAGTAAAAAGTAAACAATACATGAAATGTTCTCAATTTTCTGAGAGAAATACCTTATGAGAATGACATGCAGATTTAAAACCAGCATGTTTAATTAACTATAAAACAGCTCAAAAATCAAACTCAAGAGAAATTTTGTTATAAATTCTTTTTCAATGTTATCCATATTTTGATGGGAAACCCACAGTCTTCTCATTGCAGATATCATAAACGTTGAATGAACTCAATTGTTCGAAGAGTTTTGGGATTTTTAAGAAGATTATTATGACGTGTGGTCGTTCCGACACGGTCAACCCCTTCTAAGAGGACACATCAGAATACTACCACTAATGGCACCAGAAATTTTCGACTGGTGCCTGGAAGAAGTCCTTTATTGTTACTATAAGCCATTTTCGTAGAGTGAAACTTTCTGCTTTAATCAACATTATCAGCTGTTATTATAATACGTAAGCTTTTCTACGAAATCCGTTCCGGAAATTATGATGAACTTGTAGCCACTTCGTAAGACGAGTTGAAAAGCATATCACTGGCAACCTCATCTTGTAGTTTATAATAGAGTGATCTTTATTTTTATGGATGCCAGGGCACTTTTCCTTGATATTACCATCAAGTAATTGAGAGTGTTCCTGCCCAAATCTTCTTACGAAGTGTATGAATGGTTTAAACTTTATAAATTAAACCAATGATGTAAAAGCTTACTAAATATATAAGAATATTTACTTCTATTACATCGCAACCTTCAATGTTAACACCGTCATTAAATATTCGGATGCAAAAATCAGAGAGTTATGATGGATTTTACATAGTTTAGGCGACCTCAAATTTAAATTTTATGTAAAAAGTTTTATTCATGTTTTCACTCCGTTCTAACTTTTATGTTATCTACTTCTAAAAACTAAAATTTTTTTAATATGTAATTTTTAATATAATGGCTGTAAGGTTAAACTCTATATTGGTGCAACTGCACCGTATTATTTTAGAATCTAGATACTAGATCGCTTCCTATATGCTAATGCTTAATGGTATAGATACAGTAAGTTCATGTTCAGTCCGATATGAAAACGCACAAACTGTGTACCAAATACACATTTCGAAATTGCAATAGATATAATAGATAATATATTTTTATTATCATTTATGTGTGCTTTCATATACACAAAAAAGCTATAACGAAAAGTTTTAATACTGTTTGAACTTTGCAATCATCACATCGTAAAAAATGTATGTAACAGGAACGCTTCTGCAATTTAATCTTTAATGGTCCAAAAATGTGCTGGTATATGGATCCGGACTTTTTAATGTGCAATTTAATTTGCCGACCATATTTAACTACTTTTTTGGTCGTTATCTTTCTCTTTACACATTACTCCATTGTGAGGGTTCCTACATACTTTAAAATTCAAAGTTACCTTAAAATTTTTACCTCTGACATATTTATATTAACGTCTTTTTAAAAATATCTCCAAGAGGAAACTTTTATTTATAATTTATTCCATTAACCCAACTTAATCTGAACAGCCTTTTAGGAAAATGTTTTAACGAACAACCACCTAATTGGCTTGTTTATCGAGAGCTTTAGTCGGTAGAACAGATTTTTACAAAATCGCTCGCGGTCATTAGAAACTTGTTGAAGAAGTATCGTTTGAATAAAAATAAAAAGTTTGAAGATGTTTTTTAACCAATTAAATTTAAACGTAATTTTAAATCGAAAGTATTTTCGATTTTAAATTGAAATGTTTGTTGCGTTTGTATTGAGTTTAGAATAAAACACACCCATTACATTCTTTTCGCATTGAATGGGTTCCAACTTTACTGTTCCTCCAGAAAGAAAAGTGCCCGATGCACTCGACCTCCTCGGGGGGGTCCACAAGTGCCTACATCTCATTTTGTATGCATTGTGCGCTTTCACTACTAACTGCTGACCTTTATATGAACAACAAGAATATTGTTCTTGAAATTGTATACTCTTAAATCTTACTTATGCTTGGCCATTATATAAAGTTGTATGAAATTTAAAAGATATAAAAATTAGAAAAAATAATCGAATAATTAATTTGTATATGTAAATTCTTTTCATAACCCACTTTTATATCAAAACCATCTTGTAAGTAGTGGTGGGTAGTCTAAAAGTTGGTCGACTGCACCTTGCCCAAAAAAAAAACCAGTATAACTCAACTGATGTAACCTATACCAGTAAAAAAGCGGGCGTACGACTCCTCGAGAGAATTGCTTACAAATTGTGCTTCACCGTCAGACAGTGTGGTTATATCACCGCTCGAAATGATTTATTGCGGTGTCATTCTCTGCATTCATTCCATGTCAACATATCGATCTGCAATGTAAAAATGTACAGACGACAGCACAGACAGTAAATCGGTGTTGCTTATTGACATTGGTGCAAACATTAATATAACATCCTTTAAGAGGTAAAAATACGTTTAGGCAGTCTTTTAAACTTATTTAAATCTATAAGAATGTATAGGTAGTTCTATTATTAATGATTTAATTTTCTTTGTTTCAGGAAATCAAGACGTTTAATTCTTATCGAAAAGACAAATAAATAAAAGCAAATATGGACGGTAACGATTCGTATTCTTTTAACAACACTAATCATACGATGGATTCGATGCCAACTGGGATTCGTTCAATGTTAATCTTTCAAGAGTTGCTTTTTGCAACAGTTTGTATTATTGGTCTTTTGGGGAATACTTTGGTGGTATACGTAGTAATTAGATTTTCGAAGATGCAAACAGTTACAAATATGTATATCGTAAATTTAGCAATAGCTGATGAATGTTTTTTAATTGGAATCCCATTTTTAATAGTAACGATGGTAGAAAAATCCTGGATATTTGGCGATTTTATGTGTAAAACATATCTAACGCTAACAAGTATCAATCAGTTTACCAGCAGTACTTTTTTGCTGGTTATGAGTGCTGATAGATACATCGCTGTTTGTCATCCAATATCTTCTCCAAAATGGAGGACGCCCTTTATATCAAAGATAGTTTCGTTGGTGGCGTGGACGCTGAGTATAGCATTAATGATACCATTAATTATAAATTCAAAGGAAGTGTCACATCATGCAGGAAAATCTTGTGTGGTAGCTATTGGTAATCACACTATAAATCATCCAGCTATTACATTCACTTCTTATACCTTTGTATTTGGATTTGCAATTCCAATAGTATTCATATCCGTTTTCTATTTACTCGTTATAAGAAAACTTCAAACAGTTGGCCCACAAAATAAATCAAAAGACATGAAAAGATCCCACAGAAAAGTAACTCAACTTGTTCTAACAGTTATTAGCGTTTACATACTTTGCTGGCTTCCATACTGGGTATTGCAGTTAGCGGAAGTTTTTAGTACGGACGACACCCAATCCCCATTTATCCTGATGATGCACCTACTAGCTTCTTGTTTGAGCTACTCAAACTCAGCAATGAATCCAATCCTCTACGCGTTCCTCAGCGACAACTTCAAGAAAAGCTTTTTGAAAGCGTGCACCTGTGCTGCCGGCAAAGACATCAACGCGGCACTCCATTTGGAAAACAGCGTGTTCCCGAGGAAAAACAAGCAAGGTTCGATGAAATTGAAACCATCGAGGGCTACATCGATCTGTCCAAACAACGACGAAGAGTGTGACGTAGGACCATTGGTTAGTAAAGGGGATCCGTCAACGTCCCTCATTACCATGTCTTCGCGGTCAATTAATGCACTAGAGACCAGTAGCGACACAAGGGACACTGTGGTCACGAACGGGGTAGTTATTACATAAGTTTCTAAAAACAGTTCTAATTAATATTACTAAATTTTAAAGAAAACGCTTATTTGCATCATTAACATTTTATTCTCTGTGCTTATCATTCTTTTCACTTCACTCATTTTATGTATATTGAATTAAAAATAAATATAGAACTGTTTAAATCTGTTCAAAAATGTATATTACTATTTTATTAAATTAGGGTATTTCTATAACAATATAAAGTTTACTCTCAGTATCAGTTTGTATAGATAACCCTCATTACATTTCAAAAAACCTTGCATCTGGCATTTCTTATGCAACTTATGCCTATGTTAAGAGATAAGTAATATAAAGTAGACCTCTTGACCTCTAAACTTTTTTTAGTAATTAATTTTATTTACTTGGTACTAGTTTCGACATACTAAGATATCATCATCAGCCAAATAGTCATATAGTTAAAAAATCACGCTGAACAAACATATATACCAAGTAAATAAAATTAATTATTAAAAAACTTTAGAGGTCAAGAGGTCTACTTTATATTACTTATCCCTTAACATTAATTATACCTCTAATATTATGGATCTTTTAAAAAATTATGCCTATGTGTCTCTTAAACTATAAATCTCAGATGTAATCTCGTTCAGAAACTTGTCTACCTTTATTTTTATTGGTGGAAGCAATAGAATTTAGCTAATAGTAAGATTTTGAAAAAAAGTTAGATAAAAAGTAAAATAAGCTTCTTTGATAATCAATTTCTGCCACGCTTATTTTGCTCGTTCTGAGAAAAATGAATACAAAACTTGATTTTACAAATATTACGGAATACGAACTTGAAAAGCACGCCCATAACCGATATCATAACTTTCCGAGCCAAGGCGGTAACTTCTTTTTCGCGCTCGCAAAAGGAATGAAAAAGAGAAATACAAGAAAATAAAAGTTGGAATTCTTATATTAAGAAGTCGAAACCTTTGACCTATATTTAACTACATTATTAAAATTTATATAGTGGTTACCGGTGCGAACTTTACGAAGCACATTGACCTAGTTAAGAAACAATATTGCGTTTTAAAGGACGAGGTCATGCGAGGTGGCTTCGCCGGTAGTTTATGTACGTGTTTACTCCTTTACCACGCATTTTCAAGATATCAAACAAAAAATTATAGTGTTCAATAAATCATTGTTTTATAAAAAAAAAAAATACATTTAATAAAGCATTTTTTCACTTGTATAAAATCATTAAATATATCCTTCAGCTTAAGCAGTTTTAATAATACACTAATATTTTTCGAAAAATCCCTTCATGCCGACGCGAAATAATCACAAACTAAAAATTTTCAGTATACATACTTATTTTTATTTATTTATTTACTTGTAATATCGGGAAGGCAAAGCAATTCTAAAAATATAAATTTATAGAGACTAAAACCAAACTTAACATAAAGAAAAAACAACACAAAATTGAAGGTAAATTTGGAAAAGAAGCAGAGAGATGTCGGTGAATCCTTGGCGATACAAGATTTGTCGGTAGATCGTAAGGCAAAGAATCACTATATTTTAGACGACAGAAGGTTAAAATCGAAGTACAGTGAAATTCCCCTACAAACACTTGCTACAATTAACGACTAGAGGAAACTTTACTGCATAAATTTTAAAATTAGCTCTTCAACAATTTTAAAAAACATAACTTTAACGACGCTATTCAAAACACCAATTAACAACACCGTACTGTGTATGAAACATTAAGCAAAAAACAGTTTTGTGGTCTAGTATAGGTGCACACATGTGCAAACTAGCACTGTTAATTTTATAATTGTGAGGTTCGGGTGGGGTACCGAAATGTGTATCTTGGTCTTAATGAGAAGTTAAAACTGGTTTTAATTGCTCTCATATTTTAACAGCAACGCTAATCAATTATTGTGGATATAATATGATAGTGGATTTTTAATTAAAATGATGACATAAATATATATATGGCGCAAAAACACTGTTTTAATTGTCGCTTGGATAAATTTTTGTGTCCACTTAAAAACACCTAACATTTTCCATGGAAAATTGTATAAAACGCTCCTATTAAAAAAGTAAAAAAGTCGACGTGGATTCATTTCAAATAAAATGCTGCACAATCGTGATTTTGACGCTCCGGCCTAACAGGTTCATAAGCTGCCGCGTTATTAAAACTAGGCGATTCTTCATCTCGTCAGCAAAATTTTCGTGCCGGCGTGAAGGGACGTTAAAATAACGAATATGCATGTAATACTTTAAAAAGTGCATTGGGTTATTCATAACTAAAAAAAACCATCATAACATTCCATCTTATATTTCATAATAAAACAGTAATAAAATTAATTCCGAAAAATGTATTGATGTTTTAGGATCAATCTCGTGGGCTGGTGTTATCAACGGTGTAGCCATCGAAGAAATCATCAACAACTACGTTACACACTCGAAAATCAATACATTTCAACATTTCATCGAACAAAAATTGTGAAAGTAGAGTTTAACTTTTATCATATATGTCATATCTTGTTGGCGATTTACTAAATACATTACAATTTATAAACCATGCTTTAGTACTAGGTACTATTAAGTAAAATAAAAGTAAGTGTATATGTCTCTATTTTATTAGGATATCGTAATTCTGCTAAATTATCGAACAATAAATTAAAAATTCTTGTAAAACAATGAAATTGATGTAATTAGGTAAGATTTTTTTAAATTACGTCGACTTATTAACCCCTGATACTTTGTTTCTGTTTGTAAGAACGACCCATCAAAGAAATTTGATTGAAAGGAAAGATGAAATTTAATTTTTAAATATAAAATTGCTCCAAGTACGAGCAGCAAGCAAAACTAAACTTTAAATAGGTAATTAATGATTATTAAAAACATTACCATTTTTACAAGCGTTATCCAAAAGGTTATTTATACTGAGCCCCTGTAACCCTTTTGAGATAACTCTTGATGAAATCGAATCAAGAAAAATGTCAGTTCATAATGAATGTTTTTTATTTTTGTAAGTCATTATAACAGAAGTAAATAGGTGAAAATTATCTGTGATATTAACCTTACACAGTAAGTAAGTAAGTTTGCAAGTACTTAAGTAAGTACTGAGCGAGGTACTAAGTATTTCGGCTATTGTAAATAATCACTTTCTTATAAGTGTTGATGGAAAACGAATATTTTTCGGTCTATAATGAACCAACATTCTCGTCGGAACTTAATCTTAAATATAAGTTGTGTATGTATTTCACTAATGTACGAAATTTGGTGTTACGTTTATCGTCGACCTATATCCGACAGTTTTCCTTGTAGTGTCTTGAAATTAGTGTGAATGTGTAATGTAAAAAGTAAAATAAAATATTTAAAAGACAAGTTTCTGTTTTTCTTTATAAATAATTTTCAAAAACACTTCAACGGTACGTCAGTGTCCCTTTGCCATTTCTTACATTAAAAAATGATAACCCAGTAACGAGATGACATGGCAGCAATCAATTAGCGATCCTGGCTTTTCTTCCATGGCTTTAAACATTGTTGAGAACCCTTTTTAAGTAGGATCTTAATAAATAATGAGTACAATAATATGATAATGAGAACATCTCATCTAATTTGCTTTCATATTGATTCCTCACTTCATTCCATAATAAACAATTAAACTTCCTTTTTCTGTCCTACATTATGTGCATCTTTTCGAGCACTACAAGAAGTTGTCTGACACTTAGACCATGTTGTCTATCGACATCCCTCTATTCTCTAAATACCCGGAAAGGGATAAACAAGCAGCGGGAACTCAACTGAAACTGTATTCTTCGTTTGGGAGAACTACTTGTTGCAATTAAATCGTTTAAAAACAAGAAAGCAACATATATCAGTGAACGCTCTTAAATTCTTGGTAACCGTTGGGCATCCCACTTCCTTCTGGGCATGTATAATATTTGCCAAAAGGATACAATTTTCTCTCAAGTGTGCAAGAACACAACAAAATTTAGTAACCCATAAAAAAGCTTCCAAAGTACTGGTGGTCTCGCTGAATGGTAGCCCTTGTTACGCTTGAGATCCCTCGCTAATAGATGGCCATCGTATATAATACTAATGAAGGACAACGAAATAAGACGATGATATGGGGCTTCCGTATTTGGACCGGAGCTTTAGAACATATTCTATAATGAAGCATTAAGAATACTATGACTAACAACTAATGCCATATAGTAACTAGAAGAAAGGTGAAGTATCGCTGAATGTCAAGTATACAAATGGAGTGCGAGAAGGTCGTACGAGTTCGACGAGACTTTGTCGTGCTTAATAGAAAATATCTAGTAATGGAGAAAATATTGCATCGCAGTGATCAAACCTGGTCAGGTACAATTAGAAATAGCAAATTGAAGCGACTATCAGCCATATAACGTGAAGAAACTGCTGTCGTCTAGTAGTTTTTAATATGGCTGATGGGCCTGATAACTTTGGAAAGAGAACTGAAGTGTCCAGATAAAAATGGACCCATTCGGATTCTATAAGTAATATCTTATTACATCTAAACCGGTGAAGCAGAAAGTGGGAACAAAAACCCAATCTTGGGATCCTTCGCAGCGATAGTGGAAAACGGTACTGATGGGACAAAGACTTTCTTTCCGAGTCATGTAACTAAAGAATAATCATGACAGAATAAAAAATAATCGTGTGTGTTTTATTTATCCATACGCACCTGTATATGAAGGCACCTGATTGTTGCTGAAGGTGTGGAAAATGTCTTCAGTTGGAAATGACAAGTAAAATGACATAAGGAAAATAACTCCAAGGTAATGTCTGAATTAATGTTCTGAAATAGAGACGTAATGGTTGTAAGTTCTTGTACGTGATTGTCTACATACTCAGATATCAGGCATCACAAGCAAGAATATTACAACTTACAATGTGATCCTTTTCTAATTCTAAATAAATGTAAAGGATACGCTCCATTTATTACTTTGTGGAGCGTCTTTTACAATTAGTATGACTCTTATTAATTAAGATATAAAACAAAACCATTTGCAACAATATCGAATGTTTGTATTCATTTAAATATTGTCAATTGAAACAACTATAAAAAACAAGATGTATTAAACGTGTATTAAAAGGACAATAGCTAAATAGCTCGTAATTGGAATCAATTTAAAAGATGATAAAGAATATCACATAACCTCGATCCTCAAGTCGTAGATCACACACGAAAGTCACCAATTAAAAGACTATAAATATTAATTTTAATCAGATCTTTAAGTAATTAGAATGACTTACACTCATTTATTTCGCATTTGCAAATTTATTCCTTGAAAACTAAGAAAAAATTTGATATGTCAAACGTCAAACTTGTCGTTTTAATGTCACCTGTCAAGATTAAGTGTCAAATTTGTATTACTTTAAATTAAAATTGCCATTTCTAACTTTTGATTTTCAATATTCATGTTTAATTAAAATGGAATTAACATATACATGGAAATAAACATGGAATTAACATTTTAAAATGTTATTTCGTTTAAATTTGACATTTTTGTATTGTAAAAGATAAATGTCAAATTTGACATTTATGTATACTTTGAAAGATAAATGTAAAATTTGACAATAAACGAAATCACTCTGTATATTAGATTTTGTTATATGACCAAACATGAGCAAAAGAATCATGAAAAAAATTATATACATACGTCAGTGAAACAGCATGGCGTTTTTAGTGAGCAAGCGCGGATTATTGCGAATAATTCCAAGAAAATTTCGTCCAAAGTTAAAAAATAAAATGTAATTCCACGTTGTGTGATAAATTAAAATTGAATAGTGAAAATACGTAATCTTGAAAAAGCTACAAGAAAATGAAAATAAATGCCCAAGATGCACAGAAATAATCGAAAGGATAAACATAACCTTACTTTTTCCTATTGACTTTTTAAATGAAGTATTTTTTTTCAACGCTCTGGTACTAATTGTGAACCGAACACAAGAGAACACACGTAACAGTATTAGTAGTAATAATGAGAATGATTACTATTAAAATAAATCGTTAAGATTGTGATTTTTTTCAATTTGTCTCCTACACAACAAGTAATAAACCATGGCTACATTCAGTGTTTCTCAAGAAGGCCCTGTTAATGCTTTAGCATTAAATCGAGACAATAATCAAGTAGCTATTGGAGGAAGAAACGGTAAATTAAAAGAAATAACTTTATTTTTTAAACAACTTATAATTTCGATATAGTTTTTAAGGTTTATTCAATTGAGGATGACTGCTTTAAGGAAATTTGTAATTTACGTGCTTCTAAACATTTAAATCTTAGTTTTTCATGTAATGATGTTGCCTGGAGTTTAATAGATGGTAAGATATCACAAAATGTGTTAATATAAAACAATAAAAAGGTGATCATTTTATTTGAAGGTCCATAATTATTGAAATATAGGGTGTGAATTGTTATGATTGAAATTTTTCTTATTATATTACGTAGTTTTTGCTATATATAAAGTGATTGCAATAAAATTATTATTAATAAATCAATTTTAGATCATTATTTGGCAACTGCAGCAACAAATGGTCATGTTTGTGTGTGGAATTTAACAAAATCTGGTAAAGCAATGCAAGAACAAGATTACCAGGAACACAAAAGAACTGTAAATAAAGTTAATTTTCATGCCTCTGAACCAAATAGATTGATATCAGGTTCACAAGATGGTACAATGCGGTATTTTGATATACGAACTAAAAGTGCAGTAGCTATTTTTTACAGGTAAAATATTTACTGGAGTATTATTTATAAATAAATACTACTATTAGATTTAACACTACAACTACCATTTCAGTCAAAATGACTGGTTTGACAATTTTATTTCAAAGTTTTTTTCTTTTCTTTGCAATGATATAATGACTTTTGTAAGGATAGCTAAAGGAACAATAAAATAAACATTAAATTTTGTATTATAGCAACTCTGTAGGATTACAACCCAGAGAGGATCTTTGCTGATTTTGTAATTTGAATCCATTTACTGAGGTTCAATATTAGTTCTTCTGGGCGATCGATATTTAGGGTCTACTGCAATCTTATCTCTCTACTGCATGACAAGCTGAACAAAGTGGCAGCAAAGACATTTTTTATTGGACCCCAACCCAACTAATTAACACATGGAAGGACTCAAAGGTAGCCAAGAAAGAACTTCCATGACATAGACAGGCGAAGAGTATGATAACTCCGTCGTAAAAGAAAATGCCTCAGCAAACATTACTAAAGGGCACTCTCAAGTTTCCTAACTAGCCACACGTCGCTAAACTACCACTCTCTTCAACATTGGGCAACCTAAGGATCAATCTTATCAACTTTGCAAGGATCATATTTTGTGTGACTGCTCGTCAGAGGTCGCCTGAAAAATTTGCAGAAAGATTTGCCTGACACACATTTACTGACATAAAGGAACAAGACTTTGGAGCAGTACTAAAGTCCATTAAGGACCTAAACCTCAACTGGCCTAGTTGGAAATGTGTCCCGCAAGAGACCAGGAGCAGCGTTAGAATCGCTTCAAAACATGGAATGACAGATTATTCAACTCGACGAATTCTTCATAATTCATGATTTCCAAACGTGATTTGGTTTCACGCCAAATGGCATGCGAAAAACTCCGTGAAAATTTGCCTGCTGATACAGTTATGTGGTTCAGTGATGATGCTCATTTCATAATTCAGGTTGTGTTGACCAACAAAATATGCGATATTGGAGCGATTTAATCCAAAGGAATTCATTCGGATCGGGTCACAGTTTGGGCTACAATACCAAGAGTAGGGATCATTGGGCCACATTTTTTCAAATAGGATTCGGAATTCTTCTTGGCATATTTTTTCTGTCAGCACTTGGAAATTTTGCTGTTGACGAAGTATCGTTTCACTTAGATGGGACGATTACCCAGCGAGAAAATTTCCAGGGTGACGTATCTCCAACAGAGGTGACATCTCGTGGCCCGAACGCTCACCAGATTTAGCTCCGTATGATTTTTTTATGGGGCCACCTCAAATCGAAAGTCTAGCAACTCCTCCTGCAATTCTGAAAGCATTAAAAAACAGTATTCATCATGAGAACAAGTGGTGGACACTTGCCAAATATTATTTTTAAAACAGTTTGATAAAAAACTTCCCGTTTGTGCGTAATGATAATGGAAAAAATGTGTTAATAGTTGTTTTTATAAACATAGTTCCTTTTGTAAAATAAAAATAATTCAATAAATATAGAAATATTGTACTATTACATATTTTTTTAAAGTCTAGTCATTTTGAGTTGTTGTGGTAGAGATAGCTACATCTCAGCTGTTGATAATTCGAGTGTTAATAAATATCTTTATATATTTTTAGTAATACTGAAAGTGTTAGAGATGTACAATTTAGTCCTCACGCACCAGCAACTTTTGCTGCAGTTTCCGAAAACGGAAACGTTCAAATTTGGGATGTTCGCCGTCACGATAAATATCAACAACAATTTACAGCACACAGCGGTCCAGTTTTCGCTTGTGATTGGCATCCGGATACGTCTTGGTTGGCCACAGCAAGCCGAGATAAAACAATTAAGGTTTGGGACTTGGGTAGCTCAAAAACCACGTTGGAATACACAATACATACAATAGCTTCAATTGGACATATAAAATGGAGGCCACAACGGAAATATCACATTGCTAGTTGTGCGTTGGTCATTGATTGTAGCGTAAATATTTGGGATGTAAGGCGGCCTTATATACCATTTGCTGCGTTTAATGAACATAAAGATATTCCTAGTGGAGTTGTGTGGAGAGGTGATCCACAAATATTTTTAAGCACAGGAAGGGTAATTTTTTTTAAATATTTCAAGAGCAATATTTTTTCACTTATTCTTTAATTAACATTTTTAATTCAAGGACTGTACACTATATCAACATGCATTTAGAGACGCTACTCGACCAGCAAATAAGGCTAATCCACAAGGAATTTCACTCAATAACCACGGAGAAATTATTTTCGCCTATAGAATACCAATAAATAATACGTTTTCTAAACAACCTGGTTTGATTAGGTGAGAAAAATGTAACCATTGCGTTATGTTTTCTTAGTTTCTAACATGTCTATACTGATTTTAATAATTAATATGTCTACAATACACTATCTATATCTAACTTTCTATAATAATAAGAAAACGTTGCACTCTTTCTGTAAGTTGTTCCTTCATAATTTTCTTTATAGACTAAAATCACTATCGTCAATAGGAGATCCGTTGATAGCGAATGTGTGAGTACAGAGAAAACTAATAATAATAACGCAGTTCTTTTCCACTTATTATATGCTTATTGAAAAATTGGGTTTAAAACAGCTTTGTAACAGTACACTTCCGCTTATATTATCAATTAATAACTGACTAAAATAATAACTTAATTATTTTCTTTAAGGAAGAGTTCCAATACTATTAGTAACGATCAATTTCATCAAGCCAGCAGCGCTATTCACCAATTCAACATAGTTACATGTCAAGATCAACATTCATTTTATGATTTGGCTAAGAATTACATTTTAACTGGACGATCATTCTCAGAAATTTGTGAACATAACTCTTCAATAGCAAAAGAATATGGAAAAAATAATGTAAGAATGTATTCTTTTATTTAAATTGTTATCAAATAAATATAAACAAATTAATTTTAGGTGTCAATTGTATGGAGAATAATTAAAATAATGTATGGAGATGAATTTTATCCATCGCCAGCTAATACTCCATTAACAAATAATAATGATAAATGTTTTTTGAAAATTGTTGGGTATCCTAATGATTATGTATCTGAAGATCAGAGATCAAAAGGTGAAATGACTTGATTGATAAAATTAACAAAATTACTTAAACAAGTTAAAACAATTAATTTATAGGTGGTGATGTCTCTGGATCGAAATATATTGGCGACGAAACAGAGGTAGATAGAGATCTCGTAGATTATGTTGGAGGATTTAATGGCTTTTCCGTTTACAACAATTTTCGTTTTGGTTTGCCAAAAGGCGACTTTTCGTTTGGAGAAAACGAACTTGATAATGAATTAGATGCTCTTAGTTTAGGTAAGGAGAAAAATAATCCAAGATGTTTCATTTTATTCTTTTATATTAAAAAAAATAGATTACCGAAATAGTCTGCAAAATTCTCAACAATTGGGTCAACAGCAACAAGATTGGACGTTACCAAACGAAGCTTTTAATCTCCGGCATGAAATATCAGATCGTTCGCCTCCACCTGAAAATTTACAAAATCATTATTCGCCGGATATTAACGATGAGTGTTTACAACCGGTTCAATACGACGACCAAGTACCCGGGTTATTAACCGTATCAAAAACGGTTGAAAAGTGTTTATGGGATCCAAGCAATACTGTTGTAGACGCTTTGAAATATCATGCTACAATGGGCGATATTCAAACAGCAGCTTGTGTTCTTATCGTTTTAGGGGATAGAAGAAAACATTTAAAGACACTTGATGATGTTACGCAAGAACAATGGCTATTAGGTTATTTGGATATGTTGCATAGGTATCAATTATGGAATGTAGCTACACAAGTAAGTTGATTCATTTTTTTAATGACTTTTTGCTCTAGAGAACTACTCGTGCTCTTATTCAGAATAATTTCACTTTTGATCACTGTTATTGTAAAAAAACTCAATCTTAAAATGTTGATGACAGAAATTTTTGATGATGCACAAACGTCATAGATTTTCAAACCAATAAAAGGGAGCTCATTTATATAGGCAATTAGGTCAATTAACTTGGCAGTCTGCTAAAATGAATTTTTTTGATTTCGTTTCTGTGACATTTTATTTTGTCGTGTATATGCGATAGAAATTGTGGAAGTAACTTTTTATTTGTATGTATCTGTTGCGGTGTTATTTGGGACGTTAATGATTACAATCTTGAATCACAGGATGTTTTAGTGGTGAGTTGAGTCTTTTCTTTGGTAGTCAAATAAGGTTGGTTTTGCTTGTCGAGATCCCAAATAAAAAAATGTTGAACAAAAATTGTATACACTTTTCAAGCGTATCATAACTACTATAGATGGTCGACCAATTGGTTTCAATTGCAGAAAACCAAGATATATATACAGGTTGGTCCATTTAACGTGAGACAAGCGATTATCTCGAAAACGGTTCATTTTACATAAAAATGAACCAAATGAAAGTTGTTCTGTGCGAAGGGGGAAACTATATGACGATAACATTTTTTGACCTTGACCTTATTTTCAAGGTTATATGAAGGTCACGACCAATTTTTTAAATGGCACCCTATATATTTTGAAGTTTCGCGATAGTTTTTTCAATGCTCATCGTTAAGTAGTTAATTAAATAAGTAAAATTGTTTGGATGATTATTGTTTATTATTTAATATTTAAATTCGGTGCGACACTGTTTCGATTGCCGATCTTCGACGGGCACGACTAAATGTATAAACATATGTTATAGTTTTTTCCTTCTTTAATATTGTACTTCTCATCGTCTGCATTAAAACGGTTAATGTTTGGTGTGGCATAATTGGTAATAAATTGATCGGTCGATATTCGTAGTATGCTGAATGGGGAGAAGTACCGAAATTTTTTAGATGACGTCTTACCAACGTTACTTATAGATTTGAGCAAGGAAGAAAGACAAAATATGTGGCTGCAAAATGATGGGTGTCCAGCACATTTTTCACATATTGCACGTGAAGCTTTAGACTGGGATTATGCTGGGCGATGGATTGGAAGGGGAGGTCCAATTTCCTGGCCTGCCAGATCTCATTGTTTAAACGTAACTTTAACCCACATGATTCGTTACATTCCGTTCGCTCCACCAATTTCAGTCGAAAATCTAACTTCTAATGTAATGTGCATTTCTTATTATTCAATTTTAACAACAAAGGATATAATCATTGTCATTGACGAGCAACCATAATGATTCAAAGCAATATGAAGTTAGGTTTAGCGTATTATATGGCCATAAGCGACCTGGGCTTAATTAATTAGAGGATCTACAAGTTAATTATAATATTCTAAATCGATGTGTTTTGTCTTATGACGATATCTCGAACCGTTTTCAAATTAGACAGGATAGAAGTAACTTTTGACGCGAACTGTATATATTACCATATTACCTACACAAAAAAGTAAGACGCGACGTCCAGTCTATATACAACCTACACCAGCATCATATTTTCCAATTCCACACGAAAAATGAAACAAATGTGATGTTTTTTAATGCCAAAGATACTCTAAAGATACTCTATATTAGAACAGAACTAAAGATGGATTGAAGTTCTCTAGAGCATTGAGTTAAAATCCCTATAACTTACTAACTTTAAAGTTTGATTTTAAAGGTAATTAAAATTTCTTGGCTACCTTCGGTTAACTGTTTAAATCAACAATCAACTAGGATAAACACAAATTGTAGTCAATGTGCGAAACCATTACAAAGAACAGGGTGGTTGTGCGATCGTTGTCATACATCTGAACATAGTTTGTGTAGTGTATGTCACCAGGTGGTAAAAGGACTTTACGCTTGGTGTCAAGGATGTTCGCATGGTGGGCATTTAAAGCATATGCAAGAATGGATAGCAGCGAAAAAAGTGTGTCCAACAGGATGTGGTCATCAATGTGAATATAGATAAACACAATTTTTTTTTTGTAATTTAGGTAAATATATTTATTTACGAATTTTGTTAATTAAATTGTTTGATTAAAAATCAAATCCTTGACCTTGTTGAATATGGGAGAGAAGTAAAACATATTTTTTTAATAAATAAATACGTCTATTTATCAAACATTATCTAATGACAATAATATTTACATGTGATTTAACTATAGATAAAATTTATAAATCTAAAATGTAATTCTTTTTTTCTAACATAAGTTAATGGCACATGTATTCTAAAAAGTGTGAAAGAAATTGGATAGTTTCCTTTCTTTTTTTTTTTGAATTTTTTTCTTTTATTTACATGGAGATAATGTTCACAGCCATTCAATCGACAAAATCACTGACCCTCCAACAAAAACCGTATGTTCAGCGCGGTTCTCTCTGCTAGCACTGATTGAATAAACTCTTCACATTGCTGCTAATCAGATACCAGCAGATGAAAATTGATTAAGATTGATACAATAATAAGACATTGACATTGCATATAGATTAAGATAGTTTTGTGCAATATAGTTTTTATTATTTTTTTTTGTTACTCGAATTGTTATATTCTTATAACTTGTACCATACATTTTCGAGACAATGATATGACTAACGTTGATATAATTTGACAAGAAACATAATGTGATTGTCTATTTATCAACACATGAAAATTATTTTTTTGAAAATACAGTTTATTCAAAATTTGAATCACTGTACGTATTCTAGACTTGAATGCACAAAACATCACACAAGTTGCGATATAAATGCATACACTAGATTTTGATTTACACACAAAAGGTACATTATTAAAGACAAATATTCATGTAACACGTCAAACATTTAATTTTTAAAATTTAAAAAAAAGTACGATTGATTAAACAATGCTTTCCTTTTCTAATTGTATGCTGTTATAATCGTTTAAAACTGTGTTGCTGGCCTTTATTCCGTTTCCGTTAAAGAATCCAAAAATCCAACTTTTTATTGAGTGTCTAGGTGGATTCTTTTTGCTTGGCCTATCACTAGGTATCTGTTCGCCTATCGTGCGAAGAGATTCCAGTGATTTCCATCGTTTTGACGCCAATTCATCAGTAATCTCATCTATACCACTACCCACTCTTTTTCTTTGTACTATTGTTGGATTCAATCCTCTGGAATTTAATAATGGTTCTTCTACATCATCCAACGAACTGGTATTTTGCTCAGTCAAACCGAACATATTACCATTAGCAAAATTATTATTTACAAGCCTATTGGTTGGAATTGCAATAATTTGAATATCACCACATTTTTCACAACTCTCTTCCAAAGACTTTGTACTACGTTTCGAATCCGTTCTTCTACCAGAAAAAAGAAACGGTCTCTTAATTACTGGCAATATATCTAAAGATTTTGATTCGCGAACTTTTGGTATTATTTGGCTTTTGCATGGCTCATCACAACTTGATGCTATACTCGATAAAACTCTTCGCGTTCTTAAACCTCTTCTATTCGTTTCCAATTCATTGGCATCTATTACTTGGCTCCCAAACGTGGAATTTATTGTTTGTTTGGAGGTAGCATCCGGAACGTGCAAAACATGACGTGTCGATCTATTTCTTACTAGGAGCGGTGAAGGATTGTGCAGTGTTGAACAACTGTCAACTTCCACACTTGTCCCTCTAGGTACACTTGACTGTCTTCGACTATTTAATCCCACGCAACCACCACAGAAAGAGGCTTGCCTAGAATCATTATTTAATTTTGGACTACCCCGTTTTGGTTTGCAAAACAACGGTAGACATTCTTCAAGATCACGTTCTTCCCTTCTTTGTATGGCATTGTCCGTCGCACCAACTAACCAATAAGTTAAAACTGCTCCTTTACCCTTCATGTTGACCAAACCACGTTCTTCAACAATATAACCCCCCAGTTTATCTAAAGCCTCTTTACATTGAACGCTTATGTGTATCTTAAGAGGTTCCCCATTACTTTCCATTCTTGAAGCGGTATTAACAGTATCTCCAAATAAGCAATACCTAGGCATTGTTAATCCAACAACTCCAGCAACGACGGGACCTAAAACATTTTTAATTTAAAATTAAAGAAATTAAATTAATCAAAGAAAATAACCTGTGTGGATTCCAATGCGTAATTTAACGGTTTCGTTAGGTCGATGAGGTATTCTGTGATCTCTCACGTGTGATAAAAGATCGAGAGCCATGGATGCTATCTCTCCCGTATGATATGCATTATTTCTAACTGGAAGGCCTGAAACCTAAGATGTAATTTAAGTATGTAAGTCTTTAAAGAATAAAATTCATACTTACCACCATGTAAGCATCACCTATTGTTTCTACTTTATAAACATCATAGCCCCTGATAATTCTATCAAATACTGTATAGAGATCATTTAAAAAGTTTACGACCTAAAAAATAAATTGCTTAAAATACTTTAATTTACATCAAAATCGATTAATTTTACTTGTAATGGAGTGCTTTCAGCTGACATTGCAGTAAAACCAACTATATCACTGAAATAAATTGTAACCATATCGAACCATTCAGGTTCTATACCGCAACCAGCAGTTAATTTCTCCGCGACTGGCCTAATAAAAGAAATAGTTAATTAAAATAATTACAAACGATTTTTAATTTTTAAATAATTACTTTGGTAACATTCTATGAAGCAAATCGACAGTTTTCATTTTCTCCTCATTTAACAATCTAGTTCGTTCTTGTACTAAATCCTCTAAATGATTCGCGTATGTAACCATCATTTCCATCATTTGATCCATAATATTCTTCCTATACATTAAAAGAATTAAAAACTAAAAATTAACACTTTAAAATACTTACTTTCCTTCCTTCATTTTTTTCAATCTGATTCGAATTTGCGTAAAATCAGGCCTCAAATCTGGATCTTCCGCCCAACAATCTTTAATGCATTGCAGAATATATTCTTCGTCGCCAAATTCCTTTTCTTCTAAAAGTTTTAAATTTGGTCTAAACGGATACTCATCGCCCGGTATTCGTTTTATTGAATCTATAATTTCTGTAAAAATAAAAATTTAATTAAAATCATATGAATGTTTTCTTTAAATACCTTTTGGCTCCAAGCCAGCGCCACGAAACGGCGGAGACCTTCTTCCAATTAATTCATAAAGGATAATTGCAAACGCGTAAATATCACCTTTTTGTGTACCATGTATATACGCATTGGGATGTCTTAATAATTCTGGTGCTTTCCAAAATAAAGCTAAAAAAAAACTTTTTTTAAAAAATTTTGTTATGCCAATTTAAAATAAAATCGTTTACCTCTATAATGTTGATGATCACCTATACTCCCAACATCACTTTCCGAAAGTTGTCTTAATTCTGCTAACCCGAAATCAGTAACTTGTAAAACCCAACGACTAGTTACGACACAATTCGAGGATTTTAAGTTACCGTGTACTTCTAACACAGAATTGTGTAGATACAACATGCCCTATGGAAATTAAAATAATTACAAATAAAAATATGGTAACAAGAATTTTACCTTAATGAGATCGTGGGCAAGCGAAGCAATAAACATCCTGTCCAGTTCAATGTCATCATTTTCTATAATATCCTGCAAAATAGTAGTAAATTGGGCGATAATTTTAAATGAATGAAAACCGGTGACTTACATATAAACTTCCTTTGGCGCAATAGTCAGTGACTAGTAAAATTGACGTAGTGTCGATACAGGCTCCTATAAACGAATTAACGTTATCGTGTCGAAGCTCCCTTAATAATCGCATTTTCTTCATATCATCCCTTGAAAACGTTATGTTCCTCGAAAAGGATAGTTTTTTAATCCGCACGGTTACCCCTTTTAATAAAACTGTCGTTGCAAATGGTTGAACACCAGCCCTACTTCCAAACGAAGTCATACTAATGCTTCCTATACTAGTCTAGAAATGTGAAAAATAAAGATTAATCGAGGCTAATTAATAATAAAACGTGTCTTACACGACTAGGAGACCCAACAGGATCGTAATATCCAGATAATTGGCGTGCATCTATCTTCCATAATAATCCTTCAATTTCCTGTTCGATCTTCCACTTTCGATAGATGCTCACTGTAATGACTATAGCGCAGAAAAGCATCGCACCTAACACAGCAGCCGACACAATGCTTGTTTTGAAGCTATCGCTTTTCTTCGCGCACAGTTCATTGTTAAAACCGCAACTTGGTTCATGCGGAGGCACTTTACCTTTCAACCAAAGAATAGGTTTCGTTTTTGTCAGCTGGTATTGCTATATCGAAAAAAAAACTTTGATAAGTACTCTTAACATGTCATTTTTAGGATGGATTTATGTATAATGTTTAAACAAGTGACAAAAACTCACTCACTGGTATTCCATTAGCATTTCCCTTGAATATTGCTACCGGGCGCATTTGCCATGAACAATTAAGAGTTCTGGACAAAGAGATATCATCGTCAAATAATTCGGTCAAAGCCAAAAGGGAAAAGTTTCCTTCCGAATCGCCATTGTTATCAATTCTCACAGTCACTCCTGAAATACCTAAAATTTTTAATAATATTAAATATCAACAAACTCTACAGTGACAAAATTAAAACCTACTGGGGTACGATTCGAAACTGATAACCTTTTTAATAATCTTCATACCGTCTTTTCCAATTTCATCAATTTTTTCATCATCCAAATTTGATTCATTTTGCAGCAATTCGTGCAATGCTCTCGCGTACAACATTACAGAATCATACAAATACGCCGCATAAATCGAAACAAACTGAAAGAAACGCCTTTTTTGAATCAATTTTGAATACGGGAATAAAAAATTATCGTACTCACCACAGCGGAGTTGAATATGTCTGGTATAACAAAGTTAAATGGTTCTTTCGAGTTGTATTTTCTAACGGCGGCTGTAAAATTTTCATAACCATCTGAGATTCCTGTAGGTACAATAACCAGTAACGATTGTGCTCGTTTTCTAAAATCTTTATCAAAATCTTCGCATGTACCTACATTTGTAAGAAAATCATGTCCTAGAAAAAAAATAGAAATTAGTTAAATTAAAAAAATAGTTATATTTCTTCTTACTCCAAAGGTATTTATAAGTTTCTTTAGCAGAATAAGTGTTCACATCCACATATATCACCATATAATCACCGTTATCAAATAATTGTGCTTGCTGCATCATTGTCATCATTTGAAGTAAAGCTGTTGTACCTCCAAGATAAACGTATACTATAAATAAGTTACGTTTGAAAATTATAGGGTTTTATCGAATTTTCGTTTGATTAAGACTTACGGCGAGTTCTATGTCGAGTTTTCGTAATAAGTTCGTTGAAGAACGAAGTTTCACAACACTTAAGCATTTTTTCGCAACAATGATCATCAATCACTTCATAATCATTTATGGTCATATTATTGGCTAATGCTTCCTTTTTAAGTGACTTAGCGACCGTTTCCCAAGACTTTTGATAGATTATTGTAAATTTTTTCCAATTATAATAAAAAAGAAGAGATAGCACCGATTTTGTGACCTACAAAAAAAATTAATTACAGTAAAACTTCGATATAACGGACTTTTTTATTAATGGCCAAATATTTTTAAATCATACTATTAATATTATTTAGTTAATACATTAATATATTTGAATATAAATGCTAGCGCTCAATGATAAAATCCAATTCGGGTTATTCCCCAAGTTGTTCTATTCCATGTTCATAGGTAAATTTGGAGTATTCCCCGAGTTATCTATAGCATGTATAAACCAAGGACGGTAATTCTAGTTTTAATTGTTATTCAACGTTAGATTGTTGTATATTTTTATAGAACTAACACTAGAGTTCAGCCACCTTAAGCACTAACGACTAAACCCAAATGTTTCTAGTTCTAGGTTTAGTGTTAGTTCTAGTGCTAGTGTTAGTTGTTATTCAGCGTTAGATTGTTGCATATTTTTCATAGAAAACTAGAATTAACACTAGACGAAGAACTAGATATTCAGGTTTAGCCCTCTTAAGAGACGCACGACATAGTTCTAGTTCTAATTGTTATTAAGCGTTGACGTCACGAACGGTCCTCCGAGCTGAGCAATCTATGTTCCCGGGATGTAGCAGTTCTCTTAGATTCTACCGTCCTTGTTATAGATATAATTCCCCGTATTAATTCGTTATATCGAGGTTTTAATATATTTTTAAATTGGAGGAAAGAAACAGCTTAATTAGAAGTTAAAATTGTGCAGAGTAAGGTGCACCTTCACACGGTCGGTCGTAGATCTAAAAATAGCCAGAGGTCGCTAAGATATATTTATAATTGCTTTTCAATCTTTACGACCGGCAGTATTTTTAGAACACAATCGCAACACGTGGTCGACAACCGGCTGCGTGAGTATGTAATTTTTTACGGTTCTGTGCACCGATCCGTTTGGCTAAAAACTTTACGATTTAGGTAACTCAACTTCGTCGTGATTCATACCTGAGTATCCGGTGGTTCAGTTCTTGCAAATGTTTCTACTTCGGATGCTTGCGCATCTGAACATTTCTAAAAGATGAACGCACAAAGTATAAAAATTTTTTGGTTTTAAAAATCTAACTTACATAACTGAACATAGGAATGTTTCTTGATCTAGATAGAATGGCTTCCACGTGGCAAGAGGCTTCTGGTCCAAAAAAGGCGGCAACTCCTTCACAAATCATTTTGGATATTGCACTGGCAGATTCAATTGTATCACCTCTTGTGTCATGGTATTTTAATTTCAACGTGACGTTAGGAAGAAAAGTTTCGTTGCGGTTTATCTAAAAACAAATTTCAACGATTAAACACCTACGTCGTCTATTTTCAACTATTTTATTGGTCAATTTAAAATTCGATTCAGGTCTAGAAACACGGAATTATAAAACCTAAAAATAACCATTACGAAAAGGAATTAATTTTTTATTTTTAATTTTTTTATATAAAGTAATAACTAATCTTTGTTACACCACTGTGTTAATTTCACTGTATTTTTAAATAATAACAGCTATAGAGATGTGATGGTGCTGTAAACAAGGCAGTTCTCAAAATAGTCATGCGCTTTAGCAATATAAATAAATACGGGCTTGTTTCATTAACACGTTTGCGTTAAAACGTATTATACGGTAATTTTTTTAGTGATATTCGACTATTTTATAAAATAGGATTATTTGATCTATTAATTTACCTTTAAAAGCTAACATAAATTAATTAAGAATAATGGGATTTTTGAAAGTTGGTAAATAAATAACCATATCGACGCAATAAGAAAACAGCTCTATCGCACAATATTTGATTGTAAACATAATGTTTTGATGAGGTGAAGATTAGATTAAATAATATCTCTCGTTGTACAATTATTGCTCAAAGTAAATAAACAAATTATAGACAAACAAACTTATAAAAGGCATTGCAAAAATCTCGAAATCAATCTTCCTGTAACAACAAACAGTTGAGCTACTAAGTTCGTTTGTAAGTTCCTTAAAACAACTTTGGTAGCTTTTCTATTAACAGCAAGATTTCCACTTTGGCAAATAACAAAAATTATTGGGGTCTTAGCAACAAAATTGTTTTCAAAACAAAATTAACTTATCCTCCGAGAGGTATCATGATACTGATTGCTGCGCTAATAACCACAATAATGACCAATCTGGCTGTTATGAATGTTGAATACATCGGCGATTGATTCTAATATCTAACGGACGAGTTCCGCATTCTGAGGATTCAAATATTGTTGTTGGGTGCTGTACTAATAGTGGTTACACTTAGAAATCAGATACAGCTTCCATAATGGTTACAACCAGAATCTAGTGTATGACTTCGTATCCAGTGGATGATTTTAATATCCAATATATGAGTGATAAATAGTATCCAACAAGTGTTCTTTGCAGAATCCGTTAGATGGTTCCAGTGTTAACTTAATGATTCTAGTGTCCAACTATTAGATGCAGTATGCAAAATAACTGGTTTCAGCATTCAACGGTTGATCCAGTATCTAGTAGATGATTCTAGTACCCAATACCCTGTATTCATAGTGACTGGTTTCAGTATCCAGAAGTTAGATACAGAATTGAAATTAGATTTAGTAACCAGTGATTGCCCAACAATCAGCAATAGCTTAACATCATAATCAAACAGTAATACTTAAATCAATAAAATCTTCACGAACCTTATCTTCGTCGTTATAAGAGAAAAAAAGCTTCCTTAATGCCGTTTGCGAAGACTTCTCGAAGAAAAGGAACAATTCAAAGTATAAGAAAGGAAGAAAGGCTGATTCTTACAGCTTTGATTTTAAAAATCAAATTAGAAAAAATTTAAAGAGTAACTACTACACTATAATGCTACCGATTAGCTACTAAAGATATTAAATATTGTTTGTGTATATCGTAAACACTCAAGGAGAGAAATACATTTGTCGAATATACAAGGATTACATTACATTAAGTTTTCAATTTAAACAAATAGCAACTAGAAGGAGTAACTATTTATTGTTAATTAAATAGTATTTCTTTAGAAGTGCCATCGTAATCGTTTGATTGCGAATTCGTTGAGCCGATGCTATAAATTAATGCTTATAGAAATTAAATTAAACTTTTTATACGTATTTTAAATGTATTTTTGATGTCTATTTAATGTATGTAATAACCATGGATGTTATTGTATATTTGATGGAATAATAAGAAAAAAGATAAAAAGAGTTAATTAATAATTAAAGCCTCCACAAGTTCTTAACTTTGTTTTCAATGTTGTAAAGAGAATTTACTGAATAAGAAAATATTTCTAAAAGTATCCCTATTTCAGAAGCTTATATCCAGAACGTAACAAGTATATGAGAAGTGTAGCAAATAACGGAAGTATTTTTATAACAATAGTGGATTGGGACAAAGCACTTATTTTCGATATGTACGGTAATACCCCTTGATATGACTTATATAGGTTTTATTGAACAAACTACTCCGTATTCTCTGGCGTTAGACAAAAAGTTGGATACACTCTCCACCCATCGATAATATTCATTAAAAGAAGCAAAAATGTCAGGAAGATGAAATTAAAAAAAATGATAAATCGGAAATAACGAAACTTAAATTCTAAAATAGCCGGATAAAATTCGGTGAGCAAATAATGACGGAATCCCGAATATTTTCATAAAGATAGAAGCTAAAAACAAGATAAAACCTACAAGATGCCAAGTAACCAGAAGTACGAAATAAAAAGAAAATAGAAGCCTAAACCAAGGAAGCTGAAGACGGCGAAAAAATTCGTTCCGTTTAAGGAGCGGGAAAAGAACAGAAGCCTCTGCAATTACTTGCAAAATAGTCTCCTGCAATATTTGATTGTTTTTCTTGTATTTTTCTCCACTTTAGGTTTGGCCAAAATTATGCAATAGCTGTAAAGACCTAATCTAGTGGTTCATTCCAATATTTATTAGAAGATTCCAGTGTTAGGTTGATGATTCTAATACCCAGCTATTAGATGCAGCATCCACAATGATTACATGCAGTATCCAGAAGATAGATAGTATGTATAATAATAATATTTAGTTTTTATCCTTCAGTATTCAATGATTGATTTCTAGATTTTTGAAATTCTAGATTTCCAGTATCTACAATTTTGCTGCCCAGTTCTTGGGTGAAGTATACAGAAATTAAAAGTAAAATTCAATGAAATTAGATGCAGTGATTGCTGACAGTATGGGATGGTTAATTCAAGTTTGTGATGGCTCTTGCAATTACAATCTTGCTAGTGTGTTTGATTAGAATTTGTCCAATTAAAACATTGTGATGAAGTTTCTTGTAACCAATGATTTTAGAAATAAAACGAAAATAAAATTCTTATCAGTTACGTGTTTGAAACTTTTTAGCAATAAGGTCAAGCTTTGAATAGAACCTTTTAAATGAAATAACCAATTGATCAATGGAACATCATATTAATAATATAATTATCTTAAACTTTCTGTATGTATACTTATTATTCTTACCTGATCTAAAGCATAAGTAATCGCCCCAGAAATAGCCAATCCCTGTCTTTCATTAAGGTTTCCTCGAACGGCAGGCAAATAGCCGATATGAAAGATTTTCTTTTTATTTCCGACGGGGTATTCTCCGAGGTAGGTGGCGCCTTCTTGCGTCGCATTCGTCGACGTCGCCCCGCCGTCTGTGGAAGTGCGCTCAGTGGAGCTACAGCACGGCGTCGGGACGGAAGCCGTCGCGACTGCCGACGTCGTCGCTGGCGCCTCGTGGTCATCGGGAGCGACGCGGCTGTTGATGATGTTGTTGGTCGTCGGGTCAGCCCAAGCTAGAAGTGGAAGCAGCGCGACCAGCAGGGCCGGGCCCAGGCGCATGACCGGCCCCCGCGCTTAAGAATTCTCCAGGATCACCTATAAGTCAACAAAAATTATTACTAACAAAACAAAAAATGTAACATCACAAAGAAATTCTTAATTATGCCGTGTATTAATTCATACAGAGTTCCGCGAACTTCATTACTTAATGTTTACAATAATCATTCCTAGCAAACAAACTTTCCCTATGACCTCATCATGATGAATGCCTCAAAGCTTTTTGATCCAACGAAAACAGACCCATCCCTCGATTACACAAACGTGAATAACGTTCGACCATTTAGATGATTGGTGGATTACTGTTTACGCATTTCTCCCATTGTACAAAGCCTTTGGCACACTCTGAGAACCATTCTTAATTAGAACCCTCTATCAATTCAAGTTTCTCACATATTTGAACGCTTTCACAATAGTTCTTGTCTTGTTGAACATAGACTCGTTAATTTAAGCATTGTGAAATAACTCTTAGAGATAATTTAAAAGATTTGAGATTTTCTAATTTCAATCGTAAATATCGTGGGTTAATCTAACAGATAAATTAAGAGGGGGATATTTAACTTCAAGTGATAAGGCTTCAATTAGAGTCGACTTCATTGCTCCCACACAAATACGAAAAGCTTTATTTTGCGTAATTCGAAGACTTTTCAGCTAACACATTGGGAATCACAACAATGCCTTAAACATGATGTTTACTTTAACGTTTAAGATGAATTTTAATTTGACACCTATCTACGTATATAATGATTTGTATATAGTATATAATATTTATCATATTAACTACGCTGTTAGATCGAACAATGTAGTCATTATAGTCATGTATATTTGCATAAACTGTCGGCCATTTGCTATAGATATTGTTGTTTGAGTAACATCGTCGATAAAAATGTTTATTCGTGTCCGAAGTATGAATGTTAAACGCCAAAAATAGACGTCGATATCGTATTTGTAAATATACTCAGCGAGTCCCATCGATAATAAGTTTTAGTGAACTACTTATTTTTAATTTATAAATTCCGCACACATGATTCTTCAACAAGCTAGGAAAGATTTACTTTTTCATTGGTGTCATGTGGGATAATTACAAATTAAATAAATTAAAATTTAATTAGCGGAATAATAAGATTATGGAGATGTTGTTTAAAATGTAAAAAATTAAGTTATTTTGTTGCAAAATATCAATCTGTTTTTGATAAATAAAAAAGTAAAAACATTTATTTTTTATGTTAATTATAATTTTATAACTTATCAAAAATTTGATAACGATAAATAATTTGGTTTATGCTAACCATACGGATAAAAATAACCGCCAAAGGATATACGTGTATATCCGTTGGTTTATTTGGCTTCCTGTTTGCTATTCTATTTCGGAGAACGTTGGAATAAAACTAGGTTCGTATGGACGCCTTTCTAATGATCCTACACTTACGCATATGAAGAAGAAGCGAATGAAGATCATCTTATAGCCGCAGTACTAAAATAACTAGTACCGGTGCCTAAAAATATACCGTACCGCACAAAGCACCTTGCATTCGCGCTTAATATCCTGTATTACGGGGCGATTCCAATTTAGAAAATTGCTGTTTACGATTTATGTCGTCCTGCCGGGCAGATTGTGGATGCCTCAGGTGGGATTTTTGTCTAAAATTATATCGACTCCTGATTTATGAGCCGGGATCACCTAATCGGCATAAATCATTCTTGGCTTGAGGCCGATAGCTCGATGTTACGGATGACATGAATCATGTAAAATAAATAATTTGCAACATTTTAACTTCTCCAAGATTATATCTATTATCTTTATCAAGCTATTCAACGGAAACAGGATATTACAAGTTATTAACGTAATATGTATACCAGTAAAAAATAAAAAAAGGTTGACAGCTATTTCTAAAATAATTCCTATTAATCCAACAAGTTCGAAGTAAACCTCCATGTCAGCAATTTTTTTAATAAAAATAACAAGTTGATTCTCTACTCTTTATTTAGAATAATAAGATTTTATGTAGTCAAGAAAATCTGTTGCGCCTGTAATCTTAGAAAATAACGAGCAATACAATCGTCGTTAATGAGATCATTAAACCGAAACTAAACGTTCGACGATTCATCGCTTAATTATCGGTGTTTATATTGGCACTTTAGCCTAATTGTAAGTAGGTAAGTACTAATTACTTGTATTAACATGTACCGATAAATCTCTAGTCGTTGCCACGACCGCAACGTACGTAAGCGCAGGAGGCTTAGTAGCCATTCATTTTACAAACAACGGTATAAACTTTACAAATTACACATGTCCAACGATTACTTAATATTAATGATGGCGTGACAAATTTTGCTGAACTGCATATTTCTTATTAAACACGTTAAGCCAATCCGATATTCCCCGAGTTCATAAATAGGCTTTAGAACAATTAGCAAATTATAAAAGTTAATAACCAGTTAACCCGTAAAATTAAAATCAAGCGTGTTGTGAAGATCTCATCATCGCACCCGTTGAAGCATGTGCGTGATGTGAGATATAGAAGCTCTGCCATTCAATATTACAACGTTTAGTGGAAACTAGGAAACTGCTGGTGTCCGTAGAGAATTACTCGATCTATACAGAGCATTACTGACAAATGTGTCTCTCTGGTATAATTGATAAATACGGGTACCCTTTTAGAAAACGCAAACTTAACTATTTTAAAATTTGTTTGGAATAAAAATTGAATTTATTTGGTTAATTATAGACGTTAACACTTCATTTTATTTACTTATTATTTATTTATTTATTCAAAGTCATAAACGGATTTTATAATATTTAAATAATTAGTATGTTTACAACTAGCATTCTCTGAGAGATTTCTCTGGAAAGACCATAGGTGTGTGTATTTATTATGTAAGAACGCTATTTTTAGGTTCACGACCGGTTGTATTTATTTTATTTTATGTTAATATTCCATAGTTCACTGGAGTAAATAAACGAAGTTTTTTGTATTTTGTATTAGCTTTTTAAATTTTCTAAAAGAGTTGATTGAACTTTATCGAAGAATTTATTACATATATAACTTAAAGCTTTTTCTGGAAGAGTGACTAATTTAAATTTACCTGACATTTTTTCCAAACTAATAATTGAGTTACAAAATTTTAAAAAAATGAGTAAGTATAATCAATAACAAAGTATAATTACACATGAAGTTTGGAAAGTTAATATATTGTGAACGGGCAGTAATATTAATAGGCAGAGTATCTAATTTAAAGTTTTTAATAATGCAAAAAGCTTTATATTTTGCAAAATTGATTTATAAATGACAATTTTATTCAGTTCACGGAAAAATTTAAACGATTTCATCGAAACTTTTAACGATCTTAGATACACTTTTTTTTTCAAGTGGAACTTAGTACTGATGAAAAACGCAAAGCTTATTTCATACATCCATTTCAACCCTTGTTAACCCACGTCAAGATCAAGGTATCTCGGTTCCTTAGCACTTGCCAGATTCTTGGAGTCACATAGATTTTATTGTGCAATTGTTCACCACAACAGTTGTTCCACCAGTTGTGAAAGTTGTGGCGAAAAGAGGGAATTGGCAATATGTCAGATTGGTCAATCCAATCCTCCTGGCTATATCATTTCAAACAAAAACATAAAAAATTTCTTTTGCAAACAGCTCGCTTAAATGAGAATATATGAAATGGAATATATTGACATCGCCTGACGTCGTGACTGATTTACGCCAGAATGCTGAATACAAGTTCCAGAAATATGTGAGATATAACAAAAAATAGAAGAAATGAAATAAAACACCAACCTCAAATACATACAAGATTTCCTAATTGGTTTGCTTTCTCATTTATGGTGGTCCATAAAGGGCAAAAACCGTGGTAGTATTCCAATTGAGATGGAATATTATGGTAATTTAACTAATAATAAAAACTTGATAAAAGTAAAAATAAATTAGAAATCCTGAAATGCATAGCACTTGGATAAGTCACCTAACATGTAGTTTAATATAAAGTGAATAAACAACATAAAAACATAAATATCTACTACTCTTTAACCCGATCTTAGAGGAGATTTGTATTATACATTCGTAGATTTGTCTTCAGGCGAACTTGTATATATTGCAAAACTTATTGCTACTCCTGACTAGTAAGTACCTTTACCGCAAGAATCGTTAGGTCATAACAGAAAATATTTGCGAAAACAAAGGAATCAATGAAATAGAAGCTAAATGCATCGATCATCTCTAATTTAACGTCGTTTTCGAAACTACGGAACCTCAGTAAACCTTCCCTACTATCCATTGCCAACTTCGAGCAATATTGGTACAAATATTTCCCCATATACAATGAACAGCAACCCGAAAATAAACCAGCGACCATCACATAGGGCGGAAATGAATAACATTCGCAGATTTAGCTTTACTCATCGGTCGATCATTGCACTGCAGGAAGCCCTCCTGGTTGGTTATCGAAGAGAGTCCTCGAGTTTACTCAATTTTGCGCTGATTATCATCAAATCAATAAACAAACCACAGGCGAGTGCTCCGTGTTGTCAAATATCCTCGAGGCAGTACGAGAACTCTGCAAAGCTAACAATTTCACCCCAAAATCGTATGGCCTTTAAAATACCCTACGGAATATTCCATTAGTTCCGGATAATACCATTGACCTGATAAAATCTCATCGCTTATGGATATGTTTATGTATAGTGAATTTTTAAAATCAGGGTGGCTGTATTAAGGTGAAGGAGTAAAGTGGGAAGAAAATTACATGTCTTAACAACAATTATAAATTAAACGGCAGTGTCTTTACGAACCGTGTGTGACTAATACCGATCAATTTCATGTTCAATAGCATCATGGCATTGAAAGATTTAAACTTTGGAATTAGTAAGTATAATAAGTTTATAAATTGATTACTTAAATACACTTTTTTTGTTTACACCATCTTTAGATTTAAAGGTATTCTAACATGACATCAAACAGAATTTCCTTAAAGATCTTTAAATTATTAACTAGCTATGGTATATAATGAGATTCCTAATCCGATTAAAG